GCTGCCAAGTATCTCCAACCAGGAATATGCTGAAACTTAGTAAAAAAGGGTGGAAGAATTCAGCCTGCATCTGCCCCTGCTACATCCAACTTGGAGAGAAAATGGGAAAATTCAATGAGTAATACTTCCTGAACTATGATGGCATATTGATGGAAATGTGGCAAAGAATTAGCTCCCATGGAAAAATTAAGAAAAATCTATTTCTATCATCATAATGAAGACTTGAGCTGTTGTTATGAGTCAGTAGTGCCAGTTGGCAGAGCCAAAGATGCTAAGTGTAGGGATACAGTGAACCTCAAATGCATTTCTTTCCAGTGTACCAGCCTTTGTGTGGATTTCTACCATGGTGTCCTGCCACACCGAGCTCCAGCAACTATTTGTCACTGGACGTTTGGATCCATTTCACATCCAGTATCTCCAAACACAGATTCCACACCAAAATTAATAGTTCCCATCACTTCCACACCCAGTTGTCACCCTGGTACCCAGAAGTACACTTGATTTAGCACATGGGATCACAGGTTAATGACGATAAATCTGAAAGGAGGGATCCTAAGCCAGCCCAACCCTAAACACAGCCCAACCCCTCCATACTCTGCTTGTCTTCGGTGCAACACCCGTCCTGCGTATGCCTTTCTGTTTGGATAATGTCCTCCCACATTAACTAAGAGCCTATTTAAATGCACCAAAAAAGCACCAAGCAGCCATCGCACCGAAGGCATGCTGCATTTCCAAATGGGTTTCATGGTCTGGCACATGCCCATTCAACAAAGAGGTTCGCAAACGTGGGGAAATGCCAAAAGAATATCACTGTTGAAAACCCAATTTTCACAGGTGAACAGCAAGAATGGAACATTTTCACTGACCGACCTCTCTCTCTGGGATGAGTACTTGGTGACCAGAGCCCAACAAAGCAGATTGGGGCTGGTGGCTGCACTGGATTAAGCACATTCCAGAGTCCCGCTTTGACCACAGGTTTCCCATCAGCTCCCAGCAGAGCCCATGTCTGTTCTCCACAGGCAGAGCCTTGAAGATGCAGTCGGAGCTCTGAAAACACCACCTACCGTGCACCAGGAAGACAGGCGCCAGAGCACAGCATCTTCAGTTCCTGCCATGATCCCGTCATCAGCTTTTGGGATTTATCAGCAAGGTAAATCCCGCTTACAAACTGTCAAGTCGACAAAGAAACACACTGTTAAACAATGAAGCACCGCAGTGAAAGGCAAATGCGCTTTACAAAGAAAGTCTGAAAAGGTCACCAGAATGTTTGTGGGAAGGATACAAGCATTTTTAAACTTTGAACAATGAGACCTAACGGTGGGTAAGGAAACCACTGCGTTACCGCCCCAGCAAGTGAATAAAATTGCCACAGCCTCTGAATTAACTGTAAACCAATTGTGCTCTAATGAAACCCTCCACAATACAGATACCAGTTCACACCCCCCGTGTCATCAGCAGAACAGGGCTGTTAATGATGTTCTTCTGGAACTTCTTTTAAAAGCTGAGATCTCCCATTCCCTCTGGATGGCATTTGAACAAGACAGATAAAAGGGGAACTTCCAATCTATAAGCAAGCAGCATAGGAAGAGATTACAAAGATCAATGCTTAATCTTCTGATATTTGGCATGAATCTTAAAATTCAGGGTTATTTCCTACCTGACCGCTCCCAACAGCGTATCTTACTTATTTACACAAAGACAGGGATTAACAACACCTCATGACATCTTTATTTTAATGAAATTTAAAAAGGCAGTTATTAGTTATACATACACACAACTGATTCTGTACTTGTTAGTCATAAATATAGAACATTCAGAAGTACAAAATACACTTTATCCACAGCACAATTTCACATCCATATGAAGAGTTTAAACAGATACGTAACCAAGTGCCTAACAATGACAGAAACCCATTTTTTGAGTTGTTTTATTTATTTTTTTCTTTTCTCTATTTTCTTTTTTCTTTTTAAAGACCATTAATCTAGACAAAGTAATCAGTGCCGCAGTCATCAGTTCCATGAAATGCACTCCGGTTTAGAGTAGGAAAAGACTGACCTTCTAAAGACAATTAGATGCCATCACCTTTTCTTTGCTCCTTAACAGAAACAAAACCAAGTCTACATTCTCCTCACAGCCAACAACTGTGAAAAATGGGACTCTGGCAAAAAAAAATCACCCGAAGCCAAACTTGAGCAATGCCAAGAAAATATCTGAAGTAGGAATTAGTCCACTCGATACCTTGCAAACAAAGAGCAACAGCAGGATGACACTGATAAGGCATTAATGACAAAATGGCTGTATTATTCTCGAAGAAAGAGTACACCTATGTATAAAAATATATGTCATAGCAATTGGGTAAATCCAACACTATTTAACACTGTGCCCAAAGTAATTAAGAGTTAAAAAGGCAGTACTGCAAGAAGTATTTACAGTTTCATACTGTACTTCAAAACAACGAAAAAGGCAACAAAGCTACAAATGGAACTATCTGGTTAAAGCATCACCACAGGTACTGCCAGTAGCACTTGTAACAGGTAATGTGATGGAGTCTCTCTTGTTAAACAGGATTGCTTGTCTGAATAAACTAATGTAAGTATTTTAGTATCTAAAATCTTCTCAGTCTACATGCCTGCGGTGCATTGAAATAATTCACCCAGACCATTACTATTTGCAGTTTCTTGCTTCACCAGCTTAAAACCCAAAAGATCCAGTGTCAGGAAACACCATGTTTGCAACACAGCTCGATCAGGAATGACAGCTTTATTTCCAGCTTAAAAAACACAAAAGAAACAACAAGTCCACCACCTGTGTAATTCTGGAACTGGCAGCCACAGTGTCAGCAAAGCTACACCAACGGCACGTGATAAGAACGCTAGCATTCCAAATGCACTTTATAACTTCAGCTATAGGATAAATAAGTTGCTTCACTAACCAAACACATGATAAAAAGATACAGCACAGCCAACGCTACACAGCTTTTTTTGGCCACAAAACCTGGGATGAGGCTGTTTCAGAGGAGCAAGCCACTGACACGACAGCAGCGCATGGCGAGGGCAGCGCGGGCTGCCCAGCAGCAGTAGGAAACGCTGAACTTGCTCATTTGCTCGGTCAGAAGCACAGAGTTGCTAAACTCCTGAAGCTCATTAAGTGCTCCCTCCTCGCTGGCTCGGGAATGGCACCACAACACCTCCCATTCGGGCACGGGAAAGTGCTGCGGAGATGGGATGGCTGGGAATGGGGTGGAAGGCAAGGAAGGTGGAAACGCCAAGAAGAAAGCACTAGCTCTGGTGGCAGATGATAATGGCTCAGAGGGAAAACCCAAACCTGGCACTATCTGGACTGCACCTTAATGGAGTAGCCACCCCTTTCCCAACCAGAAAGGCAGGAGTGGCCCTACAAGGCGAGCAGCAGTCCATGCTCTGATGCCTCAGGTGTATTGGTTTTAAAAAACTAATACTGTATTTAAAAAAACAAAAACGAAAAAGAGATGTGCTTGAAATTCTAACAGTGCACTTCTAACTGCACAACCAACTGCTGTACATGAGAAGCCTTCTACAGTAGTATAAAAATCATGACACTGAGGAAGATAGCATCGCTGATGCTAGGATACAGAAAATTACTTTAAAAACCTTATTTTTAGTTTGAATTCAGGAACAAAGTATATTATAACTACACTTAGAGCAGTTTGTTGGGTAAAATAAAAGAGAAGAGCAGCATTTTTTTCAAATAATTTTTCACTTTATGGAGAAATATTTTTAAACATTTTGGAAGAAGTGACATTTACATCATGTCAAGCATCTTCGGTGCAGAGACACAAACTGCTCCTCTACTGCTTTCTCCCTGACAATTAGCCTCTTTCAAAAGCATGCTCCATTGTACAGATGCTGACCACCTTGCTCAGCTAGTGCAGCATATAGGCACTGTTTACAGAGGTCAATGAATTTCATTCTGGGATAGTAGAGCTTTGCCCATCTCATTCAATGAGCAGTCATTAATCATGAATGCAAAAGGGAGAAGGCTCCAAGAGAATAAACATGCATGGATTTAAAGGAGTAGTACATGGCTTGCTCACTTAAGAAGGTATTTTCCCAATCTCTGGCAGAGAAGAGATATATGGATTTTTGTTTGTTCTCTGTGATTCTGGTGAGGCAATACAGACCAGGAGATCTGAGGCCTCTCCATACTGCATCTAGAAACATAGTCCCTAGCCTCAGCTCGCAAGGTTAAGAGACTGGTCCCAGATTTAGCAAGTGAAACAGTAGGAAGGACTCTTCCTGGATACTGAAAACTACATGCTCTTCTCAGAGAAGGTCAGGAAAGCAAAGCCAGATGGGAACGTTACAATATGGCTGTTAAAGCTGCGTCCCTGGGTCGTGTTTGCTGCAGCCCAGCCACCTGCATTGCTTGCCAGCATGAAACCTGTGTGAGCAGAGCAGGCTGTGGGACAGAGGCCTGCCTGCTTTCCAAGGCATTATCCTGACAGGAAGGACTGTGTGATGTGCATGGTGCCTCCCCTTGGAGGCACCCCGGAATTCAAAAGGAGCTATGAGATGGCAGATCCTAGTGCTGTGAGGTCTAAGAATTGCTGTGGACACTGAGACCTTCTAAAAGGGCTATGCCCTGGGTTGATGTTTCAAGGTCTGTGATGGTCCCTGAATATGCAAAGGCAGAGGGCAGCTGTCCCCTTCCTCCTCTGCAAAGGCTGGCTGCCACCATCCAACCTCAAAGGTTATGAACAACCTGCATGTGGGAACTCCGGGTTCCATCGTGAACAATTCCTTCTCCTCCCATCCCAGAAGAAATGATCTGGATAAAAATGCTGACCTTAGAACCCAACCTCTGTAACTTACCATGCATATGAAATACTGAATAAAAAACTTTCTACCTCATTTCTGATGAAGACATATGGTGGGTGACTCATCCAAGAGGAATGTGATTAACCTACCCCTGCAGAAAAGCATACAGCATTCAGAAAAGTCAGGAGTTCTCAACATACTTGGTAAACTGAAAATCCCGTATTTAACAGAATAGGATTAACAGGGTTAAACAGAAGGGATTGCTTGGGAATCCAAGCAAAAATTCAAGTTATCACTGTGTACGCAGTGGACAATAGTCCAACTGATATCTATTACCAACTCACTCTAAAAAAATCATACACTACAAAACCATCTCACTGCTGGCAGCAAATGATTTCCTAGTAATAGGCCACCACCTTGCACTGTTAAAATGTGAGGTTTCACAGTATAAAAAAGTACTTCACAGAAAGGAAATGCACCAAATATAGAAAATGCAATCTCAACGTCTTTACAATCATTTTTTATGAGGTGGTATTTTTGGGAATGCAAGAACAATAGAAATTAAAGCAGCCAGTGAGAAATGCAGAGAGTTATAGGCCTTAAGTCAGTGCAAAACCAGACTAATAGCTTATGTAAGTTAATGTTTGTTCTGAATAGAGAACCACCTGAATTAAAAGTAAGAACACCTATGTTAAGTGATGGAGACTCCCATGATACCTAAATCCTCAATGCAAACTTTTCAGTGCATTCCAGAATGGACCCTTTGTAAAAGCAAAAGAAACCAGTACAGGAAATCACTTCATACAGCACAAGATATACATAAAGTACCAAAATGTACACACATTCAAGTTTAAGTTAGAAAAGGCAGAGCTGAAACTTCAGCGAGACAGGCCTACATTATGTTGCTTAATCTCACATTCAAAGTGACCTAAAAACTACAAGAATAAAAGAAAACAGAATATTGTGTCTGCTTCCACAAACTTAAGCTTAAAGCAAGGCATTGGAATTGAGCGGTAGGCACTGTAACACAAAATTACCTTACCTTTTCTTTGTTAGTCTTTGTTACTTCATTATCTATTTAAAAATTACCATTCAAAGGAAATATTAGGTATCATTCACATTCAAATATTTAAGACTCAGAGATATTTTTTTTCTTAAATCAAGCAAAGTTTTTCATCTCTGAGGTAGATGACAATAAAATAATAATAAAGGAGCTGTCAATGAACACCAACAAGTGCTGGAGCTCCTCTGCTGGCACTGACGCACCCTAAGGAGGAGAGAGCAAGCCCTACACCACTATCCAAAACATGAGAAATGCGTCTTCTGGTTTAGTAGCTTCTATAGAAATGCAACACAGAAAAAGCAGAGCCAAAATTACACTTGAAATGGCCTTGGATAAGAACTTCCATTCCTGCTTTGCAAGCTACTCCGAAAATGGTGGAAACATGCCCAGGTCAGCAAAATCTTCAATGTTGTAATTGCCAGTACCCTGCGTTGGATCCCCTGGCATTGGCAGCATGTCCTGCATGATAAGGAAAAATCAAAGTGAAGTGTCACTTCCTGACATGTTATCCAGACACAAACTGTTTCCTGTTCATCTTTTCAATGTAAAACCAGAAAAGACCAAGTTTAGATAAACAAGGTGAAAACCAGACCTGTGCAGGGGGGAAGGCTAAGGCTTGCGTGCTACTTATGTTTTGCTGAAGTATTCCTGAACAGGAGGTGGGACTTTAACAGGACAGAAGTTTTGGATTGCTCCTCTGAATATGGCACATTTGAGCTGCCACATACTCCTCCCAGGCTGAAACAGCTCCCTTTGGAATAGGTAGCTATATATGGAGAGGAAAAAAACTCTGTTTTTGCTATATGGGAGGTATTCAACATCTCACACACTCCTGCATAGAAAGCAGCTCTTGCTGTATAAGTTTGGTTATGGGGGGGTATCACCTGCTCACCAGCAAGTCAGTGAATGTATTACTGCTCCTAGTCCTGAGGAACACTAAAGACTGGACATCCACCCCAGCTAACAAGATGCCCAAGCAGCCTTCACGAATGTACAGAGGCAAAGGAAATACCAGGAACTTCTCAGGAGAAATGGGATTTCATGGTAATTGCTCCCACGTGTCTTGAGCCAAGTGAGGTCCCTGCAGGAGGCTTCAAAAAATACTCAACCTTTCCTCTCGGCTGGAGACCGAAGCCACAAGGAAAAGATATCCCTTGCTGAGAAAACCGGAGCTTATGCTTGCCTTTCCTGTCAGTCCTTACAATAACAAGCTCTTACTGCAAAGCCACGTTTTGCCAGGGATGGCTCACTATCCTTACAATAAAACAAAACCTAAAGAGCAAATAAGAAAGCTCACAGGGTTGGCTCTGTGAAGGAATAACTACTGTGAACTGCTTTGTACTGATAAATTACCCCAAAATAAGATAGATTAGAATCCATCTGAGATCTCTTCAGCATCCCTGTCGATGGTGGTGAAAGAGGCTGTGAACACAGCTGGAAGTTTCTCAGCCTTCATTTTCTGACCAAAACTTGCACTTTTTAAGTTTTTCCACATTCCTTCCCAGTCAAGGGGAAGTTGTAGCTGCCCTCACCTATTTAGACTTCCATCTCTAAAGGCATTTCTGCTGCTGGAGCCTCTGTAGCAGGGTCACCTCAGGTACAGACCCAGCAGGGTAGCTCCCCTCTTGAGTTCGCTTCTTTCTTTATGTCCAGCAAACCCAGAGTTGGCTTCAGGCACATACAATGCAAGCAACTTCTTGGAAGCGTTTTAACTGGGCTCATCTAGGTTTCCCATCACATCCTGCTATTGTCCTAATTCCCTGCAAATGCACAGTCCCCTAAGAGCACTGCAGGTGAGCCCAGTTCTCCATTTCTTCCTTGTTTCTCCTTCCCACTAATTCCATAAGACATTTGCTGGGACACAAAATTGCTGCTTGGAGCCCTGTGTCTCTGTGGGCCATTGGCTCCATGGAATTACCCTGAATACGCTTTTGGGTTAAGGTATGTGCAAAGCCATTGAACTGCTAACAGAGAGGGATGCCATAGATTACTCTTGCCTGGGCCATGGGGTAAGAGCATGCAGACAGGTAGTTACTCCAGATGTAATAACGTTATTTGTTTCCCTGTGAAGCAATGGTTTGCTCACACAGGAAAATTTTCAGGCTAATGTCTCTCCTGCAGCATTCCTGCGAGTGACTAAGCATGAGCCAGGTCTTGCAGGTGAATTTACTTTCTAAAAGATAATGAGGTGCCCCACTTCAAACCTTGCTTGGGGCTTGAATTGTCTTTTCTGCATTTATCTGCATTGTTTTGTTGCAAACTGCCTTTCTGATCTAATTTAAAAACAAGTTATACAAGCATAGAGGCCTTACTAGTTAACTTAGGAAGTCCTACTCCATCCATAATGAAGGCCCCAAGTTATACTTAATATTAAAAAATCAGCTAGTCAAAGAGGATTTTTTACCAGCTATCTGATATCAGACTGGCTTTAACCTTAAAAAAGTATTGGCCACTATCTTCTATGCAGTATCAGACTCCTTTCCTGCTTGAATCATCAAAGAAAATTACACTGATTGGACTTGTCTGGGATTTTAGAGGCCAGCACCAGGATAAGAAAGATACTCTACTTGGGACTATTTCATTGCTTCCCTGCAAAACACATAAACCCTAAGTACAGGGTGCAAAGATAAGGGAAAACAGCATTTTAAATCAGCAAAGATGCTGTTCTTCTGCAGAAAACAAAACCATCTCAGCTGTAGTTAATGCCAGCTAATAGCAGTGCCAACCTGTAGCACCACATAGCAAGAGGTACTTGCTCCAAGCCCTGCTAGCAGCCTGATCTTTGAGGGCCAGAGTTCTTCAGGTCAGCTTTGAGCTGGTGTCAGAGGGACTTTGGGCTCACTGAACTCTCCTCACCTGGAACACCTCGGTCTGGCTGGGCTGGGGGTGTGAATGCTGGTCGCTGCTTTGCTGGTTGTGATGTTGGCTCTGCCACTGGGACCAAACTTCGGAAGGTCTCCCCTGGAACTGGCCACTGCTCTGGCCACCTTCAGCTGGATGGGGGAAGAAAGGACAGAAGTCAGAGAGCAGCTCCTTCAGAACTCCCACCTGCTTTTGAGGCTTCATCCATCAATGCCTGTGTTTGCACATCACTTTAGAAAACAGATCCCAAGTGATACTCAGCCCCTGCAGGGTGGAAGCCCTGAACCAGTTTCAGCCCTGAATTGCAGGGTGGGGGCCAATGTAAGAGCAAAGCTCATTGCTGTGGCTGTACAGGTATGGCAGGTGAATTGCTCACAGCAAAACACACAGTGACACTGTAAGTCAGGCAATGGAAAACAATTTTCAAAGCATCCCCCCTGCTTACATGCCATTTAACTTAAATACCAAACTGCGTCATCTGAATGCTCTTTCTTTTTGAAAGACTAATTCTTGTAGAGCAGTGGGTGCACAGTTACCTACTCAGCTAGGAAACATGTAAACAGAACTAAGATTTTTGCAAGCAGATGTAAAACCAGTAAGATCAACAGGCAACAGCCTTGCTGTGCTAAATGCAGACACTATTGTATTAAATGCAGAGTGTTGCTTGTGGTCTACCATGTCCTCCAATATTAACACTGAAAAATGATTTCTTTAACATACAGCTTATAGCAAATTACTATCCTGTTCGTATGGTGACGGCATCTTAAAAGTCTGAGGCCATTTAAATGTCACAGAGTAACATGAACAGCAAGGTGTTATGGTAAATACACTTAAAATGATGACTTCAGGGAGATGCATTTCCTCTAAATAGTCTACTAGAAAAAAAAACAGGATGCCACACACATTTTACACTTATTACACATAGTTTTCATGAGTACAGTCACAGGTCACACATAAGCTGGATTCATATTGCCCTCCATTTCTATAGACTATTCCCAAATGTATACAATGTATGGATAATTTTCCTTCAATTTTTTACAATATAAGAATTAGCATTTTAGAAAGCTTTCTACCAGGCTTATGCTTTTTCTCTGAACATTTTCCTTCTCTTTTTTTAACTGCTCCTGCTATTTTTGCCTGTTTTCTCCTCCCTGCAGAGAACTAAGCTGGGTAGATCTGGCTCTCCCCAGTCATCAATGCCCTCTGCCAAGGATGCCAAATTTCCTGTGCCAAACATCCACACGTGTGCTATGTCAGGTCTCTGATAACCAGACTCAATCATACCAGATCAATCACTACTCATAATCATGGCTTCAGAAAATACAGAAACACATGCTTAAGCCAATACTTGTGGCTACCAGCAAAACCATGCCAGACAAATAAAGCAAACATGTTACAGGAAAGCGAACAGGCTGTAGTGATGTATTTCTATCACATCTGAAGTGGATAATTACAGTTCTTCCCTCACTGACGTTACCACAAGCAATAATTCAGCTGACTCAGAAACCCTGCAGCCATTTTATGGGACAAAATAAAATCCATCTAAGTTACCCTTTAAAAGAAAGCTGAAAGTTATTTTTTTCTCAGAACAACACATTGAAATTAACTCAGTGAGGCAAATGATGCTGCTTTTCAGCAAAACAGTTACTGCCAGCCGGAGGTTCAAGACATTCGTCTCTATGAAGGCTGAGTTATTAATAGTATCCAAACTGATGTAGGTCAGGAAATGTTTCTCATTAGGTGAAAGAGTTCTTGCCAAGTAGCTTAGGCTTGAAATACGAGGCTGTCTCATAAACAAATGTACAAAGCCTGGTGCAAATGGAAATGGAAGCAAGAATAATGCTCTGTGGGAAGAGCTGTTTCGATGCACCTTTTCTAAGCAGTGCAGGTCTGCACTCAGTGAGGCTGGTCTGCAACAGGTCTGTACCCATTTTATTCTCAAGGAACAAGACAAAAATGACACACATTAGCACACTGCTACCTATGCTGTTCGGAATGGCACGTTATTACCCACCAGCAACATTTTTCATGTCTGTTTACCACTGACGGATTCATATTATTTTTTACTCTTGAATATTATTCTGCTGGTGGAGTGCAGAAAACTTACCAAGGGGTCAGCCATTGGGTCACAGTCTGAAAGCCACTAAATTAGCATGTAATAGGAAAAGAAAACCATTTCAAAACATGGCACCTACACTGATGAGGTTAGTAGCACAGGGGAATACAAAAAAAACTATCTCCAGCCAAACTTCATCAAGCCACCTCTGGGCAGAAGAACACTGCAATGCAGTCAGGGAAGTTAAAAGAGAATGTCCATATGTGCCATTTAAGAGTTCTCCTCAAAAGCAAAAAGAAATTGAACCTGCTGACCAGAATTTGACAGGACGGGTAACTACTGATGTAAGCAACTTCTGAATCATTCATGTCACCATTTACTGGGGAAAAAGAAAGACGGCTCCCTCATACCATAAAATACCACAATATCCTGAAGTGTGTTCCATGGAGGAGATGCAGCAAGGAGAGAACAGGTCACCTCTGTCCACTATGCTCAACAGCAGAATGCAAAACCCTTTCCCCACCTGGGCTTCCCAACCAACCCACCAAAAGAAAGGTTGGAGGATTGTTAATGAAGTTTTAATGCTGAAGAGTTTCATTTTTATGCATTTGTGTGTTAGGTCATTTAAAACTTACCAAACCCTGCACTTCGGTTTGCTAAGCTTGAGTATGCATTGCCACTTGGAGAAGAGGTGGCTGGGCTGGAAAGGGGGCTGTATGATGACGGATCAGGTGGGTAGTTGTGACTTGTTCCAATCCCAAAGGGAGATGACTGAGCCTTGCCAGACTGCGATGGAATTTGCTGAGGAGTAAAGGGTAAAAGAAGGAATGAGTTGCACTTTTGAAGAACAGCATAGCAGATTCACTTTTTAACAGTGTAAAGCAAACACTATAGAAACTCTGCAGATGCAAACAGCCACAATATTTCTGTCTCAGCCATATTTCATTTCTGTCAAAGCCAACTTATTGCTGCAGAAGGAACACAACAGACTATAAACTAAAACAGAGCTCTCCTGCTTATTAACTCACACGTACTCAGTATCAGAGCTGTGATTTTCTTCACCTTCTTATGAGGACTAATCTCAAACTGAACAGGTATAAAGAATTCACTTTTATTTGCCAGGTGTTTTGATTCTGCAGTGCCACAGTAAATTCATGGTTATCTGAATGTGTTACAGAATATATACAGTTCTCAGATGATCAGAGTCTCCAGTGCTTGGAGTAAATGGTCAAAGACGTTCCAAAACTAATAAGCTGCTTTCTCTCTCTACCTAAGTACAGGCAGCAATCATGTTGCCTTGTAAAAGCTTTGGCAGCGAGTGTGAATCACCAGTCCTGGGAGCAGAGTAGGAACAGACTCATGTTGCTTTAACTGGGGAGCTGAGTCAAAGTTATTAAAAACCAACTTGCTGTCATTTTAATCTACATAATGACTTTGTCATATGATCTCCAAGAATGTTACTTAAATGATTAAACACTGCAGGCTGCTTTGAAACATGTACAACATGTACACTGAGACTAAGGGAGGTGAAGTGTCTCATCCGAAGTCATGTGCTACGGCGACATTTAATGCTACAGAGAGAAACTGCTTACAAACCATTTTCTGCATCCTGAACAAATCCAACAGGTCCAAGAAAAACTCATTGCCTAACCAATTCCACAAGCAGAAATTAAAGGTGGTTAGGTCCCTGGATACTTCTAATGATGTGCACTGTTACTGGCAATCAAATCACTCAAGCGAAGCTGTTATCCCCTGGAAGACAGGGAGCAAAATGAAGCCCCCATAATCCAAGGGGAAACAGTGACTAGTTACACCACGTAGACACACACAAGTCCTTGAAGCTGGATCCCCACCCAGCTACAGAGGTGTGGGTACAGAGGGAGCTCGTGCACGTGCTCATCAGGCTAAGTAGCTTCTGCTCTGAATTCTTGCCTGAATTTGTATGTGTTCTTTTCTGATAACTCTGCAGACTGTGGGTAATATTGCTGGGTGCAAGGTCTTGATTCAAGAAAAAATTATCACAGCCTTAATACTAAAGGAAAACAGCTGTCTTCTTGCTTCAGTCAGTGCACATGTAAGTGCAGGACTGAGAACTGCCACTAGGACTTATGTCAGCATAGTGAGTGCCACTATTATGGACACTATTACAAACTAAATGCAATTACACACAGGACAGTTGTCTGAAATTATTCTTCCTGCCAAGGAACAGAAGTGGGGGAACCTATTTCTCTCCAACCATAAATGATAATGACAAAATACATTAAATCATGCTATAAGTGGGCTCTACTAGCCCTTTTGTAAAAAGCACAGATTGGAAATCTTTAATGACCATGAAAATAAAACACCTTTAATCAATACCTGTCCTGGAAATGGTGGGCGATTTCCTGTCCAGGCAACCTGACTCTGATTTAGTTGACGAGATATCTGTGTCAGATTCTGGCCTGTTGAAGAAGAAGACTGGATGTCGTTCACACCAGGCACATGTACCACAGATGAGCTAAAAGAACAGAAAGAGTGCCTCATTTGTAAGTTATATTCCCAGTGCACAAATAATATTCCACACATGGAAATTTTGATAATCACATTAAAACTAATTGTTACGTATGTCTTGATAAAAAAATGACTTAAAACCATCACAAAACTATGACCCACACTGGCATTCTAAAATATCAGTCAAATAGACAGAGGGCAAAATTATTTTGAATTAGACCAGTAATCTCTTTGAAAGGGCTCGCAAGAATAAAATTAGTCTGACACACGATGTGTAAAACTTAGCTTCATGCATATACTTAATGCATTAAAAAAAAGCCTGGTTGTGGAGAGTATTCAATCAGGTACTGAATTTTAAATTAGTGCTTAAACTCAATTTAAGCATTTGCTTAAATGCTATACTAAATGAAGATGCACAGAAAGATTATACCTATAAGAACTTCTTTATCTGTTTTCTTCCTGGGAAATGAAGAAGCGTGTGTTATATATTAAAAATCTGAGCTTTTAATTCCTTTTTTCACCAACTGATGCTAAAGAGCAGCATGCAGTTATACACCCAGGCAAAAGAATCATCAAGACAGAAACTTAAGGTATTGTAATAGCTTTGGAATTTAAATAAAAAGGTGTTTCCAAAGGAACTCAGTTATTATATGTTACCTGTTCCCTAATCAATGAATTTCACTACAGAGAAATTTCCCAGAAATTCTGAAGTAAGACAATTTTATGAAGGACTGCTCCACTTTAGTATTTACTCTCATGAAAATCTAGAACAACTGAATCTATGTAACCACACACTGTCAACATGCTTTTCTGTATTTTCATATATTAAATTAAATTATACATTCATTATTTTACATGTCATCTATAAATACATAAATTAATATAAATGAAGACACAACATATAAAAATGCTCTTGTGCATCAACTGAAGCGGATCGTTCTTTTCTCCAGTCCCTTCCCTATTGCCTATTTTCACAGTCTTACAGAGAAAGAAGAGAGCAGATTGGGAAAAGAAGTAAACAAGGCTGAGCAGAGAGGAAGCAGGAATCTGAATCCTCTGAGAAGGCTGACAAAAGCCCTCACAGAGTGGTAAGCAAAACGTGGCAGGCATTTGAATATGGGACTTGCTATTCTCTCTTTCTTAAGCTGCTGAAAAGCAAAGTTTGTTTTTAGAAATTCTTTGCAGAGTTTGTTTTCTGTTAGTTGGGATTTTTTAAAATTTGTTTTTTATTTTATTTTTCACTACTACAGAGTCTCTGAAGAGGCAAATGTGGACCAGAAGGTCCATCTAAATCTGGCTGAACTGACAAGCACACAACAGCTGCTGGGAAGGGCTGCCCTCACTTGCCAGCACCTGCCCAGCTGGACTGGCAAGTCCCATCATTGCAGGGACTTGGACTGTATCCGGCCCATGTACTTTGAAACCAGGAGCCTGTAAAATAGTGCCTGAAGGCTGTTAGAACTGAGCAAGCTGGAGAGCATTCAAGGAGGACAGTTCACCAAGGGTGGAAATGCTGGCAGATGTGTCATTATTTGATGTAATAGAACAGCAGTAGGAAAAAGCTAGTGTTAAACATCAGGAATTAACAAAGGAAATGAAAAAAACCACACCAAACCCCATGATGGCAAGCCAACCATCCAGCAATCTACAATACCCAATTAAAAGACATTTTAATTTACTGTCATAGTCCCCCCTAAGTCATTCTTAGTTTTAATCTGACAAAACACACGCATGGGGATTTTATTTCTTCCCACTGAGGTTATTAGCAACTTTAAGGACACATGAGTTTAAATAAAATTATAATTTGCAGATTTGTTCTAATTCCGGGAACTGACAGCCTCTGAATGGCTGTTCCTTCACTTTCACAACCTTGGTTGGTCTAAAACAGGAGGATGGAACTCCAGTGTGACAGTCCCAGAATGGTGATAGGAAAGGCACCAAGGTAAATATAATCACTCTCAAAAATTCACTGGAAATGAAGGCAAACTCTCAAATTTCAGATGAGGCAAATCTGTACTGGCAGCTGGTAAGCAACAGCATGCACTCTGAGTAACTCAAAAATACCTTGGAAAATTACAAACCACCACTTTATGTGCATCTGGAAGCTCCCTTAGAAAATTGCTCATCTCTGTGTTCTAGCTCTCACCAAGGACTATGGATGAAGCATCCTCTGGTTCCTTTAATGATGGTCTTCAAGTCAGCCTACAGAAGTACTGACAGCTCTAAGTGCAAAACAAAACTGCACCAACCTAGCTTGGCTGAGTGTTGCTCAGATCTCTGAGCCTGTCCCATCACATCTCACATTTATTTCCCTTTGTGATTTGTCAATGTGTCTTAGCTTCTTTTCAATTACATCAACACAGCAACAAGTATTTTTAATAGAGATATCAAGACCATCTCAGCCTGAAAGCCTAGCCCAAGTGCTGAGATACCACATAGGACAAAAGAGTACACAAACCAAATCTCATTCATGTAAAGAAAGCCCCTGCAACTTAGGTTGGTTTTGTTTCCACCAGATCAAAAGGGAACAGTTCCCAGCTCTCAGGCAGAAACTGACAGGTTTAGGATCTGGACTACAGTACCTGAAAGTCTTTCCCGAATGTCCTGGCTGAAATGGGCTTCCCTGTGAGTAAAGCTGCTGATTTCCTGCTGTTGATGCTGAGGCCATCATTTTTTTATCTGCTACAGAAGAAAAACAAATCACAGAAAAAAAATTCAGAGCATGAGAAAATGAAGGCAAAATTATATTATGAGAACTGCAACATGTATATATACATATATGCATCAGGGAGTTTTCTTTCCACTTAAAGCTTAATGAAGAAGTCCTGTGGAACATATTAAGAGTGACACAAAAGGGCTATATGACAATTAAGTAGGAAACAAGAGGCACAGCTGGTTTGCGTGTACTTCATACCCTCTTCTCAAGATGTACCTCATTAATGCTATTGTTTGCAAAGATCATACCACTGGTATGTGCCCTCTGGTCACACAGCACAGACCTTCTCTGTGCCTGCTGGAAGCCACTCCTGACCATGTATGTATGCAGGAGGGGTAATGTGAGATAGAGCTGCTCTGGCTGAGGTAGGGAGTGATGGGGGCATGGGTGCAGCTACAGGATGAAAAAGAGGAACAAAGGTTTTCTGGAAGAAAGATGGGATGTCTGCCCAGGGGAAATGCCACATGAAACAAGCCTGGTATGAAGAAGATCTGATGCACATGTGCCTCTATGTCTACCTGGGGGTGGCCTCAGGTGAGGGTATGTTTCTGGTGCCATGAGAAGTCATCCACTGTTACGCAGCCTGAGTGTCTCCAAAACCTGCCCACTTGAGCTGTGGCAATGCAAAACACTGGTCTCTTATGGATTAGGATGTCCTATATGTGGCTCGAGGGAGCCATGGAACAGGATGCAAGCATCCCAGGGGGGCGTAAGACACACTAGCATAGTGAACAACACACACATGGAGATGCCATTAACTTTTATAGTCTACTCTTAATGTGGCAACTGGAGATCAGTCTCTAATTGAAAGAAATGAGATTGGGTGAACAGTGCCATTGGGTCCCTTAATTTAACTGGCACCGCATTATTCCAAACACCAAGGAAACCTCACTACTACTACCACTTCTCTGAAAATCATTTGAAGGTCTGCCTCAACACCCTTTATTCAACTTCCACATCTTACCTTACTACTTCCAAGTGCATTTGTTGCTACACACTTCTGACAGGCCTAGAAATCAAGTCTGCCTCCTCATTTTTCCCTTTGCTTTTTCCAGCTTCACACCCATTTGACAAGATGCTCTCCTGGACAAAAGGCCCATTCAACTCACAAGTAATAAGAGTATATTTTAGTTTTCCCTAGCTTTTAGAGACCTTGTTAGCGTGGCTCACCAAAGGCCTCCCAACACACAACGGCTCTTCACTGTTGCCTAATTTCTTCTTTTATTATGTTCCTAACAAGAATCTAAGCTCATCTTCTGAAAGAAAGAAAGAAGTTACCTCAAATTACCTCCCAGGAGCCTTGGAGGAGTGTGTAGGCCACTGAAGCAAGCTGTCACTGCTTTTCCTCTGTCATGGAGAAATCTGTAGAAATTCCTCACTATCTACACACTGCCTAGCACACTGAGTCTGGGCTGCAAACCTATGCTCTCATATGAGAAAACAAAGGAGAAATGGGGACAAGGTCCAGAGAAGGTTGTGTAGGTAATAGGAAGAATTGAGAATGGAAGATGTGCCACTTTCTAAGGCCACCCTTTACAGGGATACCAAACTCTCAGGGTTGGAAAAGACTGAGCCAAAATCCTGCGGGTACTTCAGATATTTGAGAACAATTCACCAGCAAAACTGAGAATGCACTAAATGAACTGGAATTCCTCAAGTGGAGCAGAGTTACCATGGCAGCTTCCAGGATCTGTGCTGCAGGATGAGGCCAGGACAAAGGGAACAGCTAAACTAATCGTGAGCAGCTAAATCAGCTTTGAAATCTCCCTCCTGAGTTACCCTGAATGCTCTTTAGCCACCTCTCCCAGCCGTATTCCCATGCAGGCCTTTACTCACTAATTCTCTGCTCTCACCCTTGGTACAACATTGAAAATTTACTTTGTTTTGGTGTTTTACCTGCATTCTTAGACCTGTTTCTAAACCCATCACTGTACTGGTCAATGATATGCCTTTCTCCCAGCAGGATCAGTGTATCTGCCTTTAGAAAGCAGATCTCTGTAAGAACCACATCATCCTGTGCTCCTAGGCACTTGCATGAATTGGTGAAGCCAGGCTTCCTCTCCCCACTTTTGTTTTTCAATGATGTGTGGCCACATAATTAAAAACATGGCAACAATCTCCCCATGGCAAACCTGTATTTTTACAGAACATAGCAGAGAATGAGATCAGGTATCCACATAATGCAAATGTCTTGCAGGCAGCATGCAGGTTTGTCAATATTGGTTTTGGCCAATGTATCTCATCTCTAACTGTGAACCATCCGTTTTTATCAGTCAGAGAAGACCTTGATCACAGGTCCCATGAGAAATTCAGACAGGGTGAATGTCCCAAAGAAAGCATAGGCTGTAAATTGGTAAGAGTGAAAAGAGAAACAGCATTTTCAAGTATATAACCTCCCAGCTACCTCACAGCTTGACAGACCCTTAACCCTAACCCTTACCCACAAACAGTTGAGAGGTGGCTGAAAAAGAGCCAATAAGGCAGCCAAAAAGCAAGATGTTCTTGCTTGGAAAAACATGTTCTGGTGTTTAGGGTTGGACTCTTGCTACCTTCTAATGGACCCCTTTTATGGCCTCAGTTGTTGACTTCCCTGTTAGAGTAGACAGACAAGGATGAACAAAAATAACAGAGAAGTCCTAGTAACGGGAGGACAGAATATCAAGTTTGTTCTGCAGTTACATTGCCCTCTCCATTTGAAAAGGCCAATCCAGATATAAAAAACCAATGCAGTGAGGTCATCTCCCAACACCCCTGGAGTCAAACCCTGTGGGTCACTTCCTTCATGCACTGCATGACACTTGCACATTGATTTATTTAAAACAAATGTAAAAACTTCTCTTTTTCAGTGAGGACAGTTAAGAACAATAAACAATTTACGAGCTCTTCCATGAGCAGTGGAATTGACAAGCCTGGTTCCCTACAGATACATCTCAGATGACCCCTTCAGCTGCCAGTCTTAGTGACTTCCGTCTGTCAGGACACCAGGCAGCATAGGCTAGGGCTAGTTTGAGTCAGCTATGTCTGTTCCACTGACAAGCTGGCTGCTATCTCTTAGAACAGGGCTAGGAAACAAGGTTGGGACACTCAGTAAGGACTTCTATATTTTCACAAACTACAGAAGAACGTACTATTTCTGAGACTCTTATCACTCTTATAAGAACTTGGCAACAAGTTCAGAAGTTGTAGGAAAAAAAGCAAGGCCTCACTCACAGGTAATGTGACTGGAGGTGCCCAATCTGACCAGAAACCAAGTGTATTATTACAGTTTAAGCAGTATGTGTCTCTGAAAGCGTCAATGTAAAAGCTGATGGTATGATAAAAAAACCCCAACAAACTACCTTAAAACTACATGGAAACTTTCTTAATCCATGTATATTTTAGAGATGAACTCACGTCTGCTGTCCAAGAAAATATGTACTTAGCAATGGCAAGCCCTGCTCAGAATGTTTAGTATCTACAAACACTGCTTAAGGTGTCCCTGTGAAAGAAAGAATCAAAACTAGGTAGCTTTGGTGACAGCCAAGCTGTCTTCCCCTCGTTGAATTTACCTCTCACCATCTTTAGGGGAAATATCAACTAAAGGTAAATTCTAGAATATGTCCTGAAGGCTGATGTTGCTGGAAATTTCTCTGCTATGTTGTAGGTTCTCTTCAATCCTTGGAAGCTGTGTGAAGCTGTGTTCCACATCATGCAACCAAGTGTAGCAGTGTTAAAGACTAAACATCAGACACATTTACTTACAAGCAGTTATTCCAGCAAACATCTCAGCAAATCTAGGATCTCTCTCTTGGGAGAAGATAGCATCAGGCTTTTCCACAGACTTTCCACCCTCATGAACGTTAGCTGGTATACTTGGAACAGGCACCTGTTGAGATACACAGAGGAAGCTAATTCCCTCCATCATATTTGATGAGAAGGAATTCAAGGATAGTCACAAAGTATTTTTAGTTTTTCTGAAATCTAAGACTGCTTTATGTTTTAAAAGATCAGAGGCACAAAAATAAAAACTTGAGAGATTTCACCTGAGATAAGTCATAGGATGACAGCCCATCTCTTTGATGCACTTCAAGCTCTGCTTGCTGTTGCTGCAGTTGCCTGCAAAGGACACAAAATACTTGGTTACAAAAACCAATTAAGATACAAACAGGAACAGCCACGTCTCCTATCCTGTACTCCGAGTGAAACGTCTCTCAGGTAAATCCTTTCCTGTGAAATTAATGGGGTTTTAAAGCTTCCTCATTGAGAAAGACTGCAGCGCAGGAATGCACCAGGGCACATGAAGTCTTTTGATGTAATATCACAGAAATGTAGGGGGCAAATAATGTAGGATGGAATCTGACCTCCCTGTAAAGGATTAAGAATTCACTATTAAAACACCAAGAATGTCTTCTACATGTTAATGATGAATATACCAGACCTCTTCACTGATCATACTGAACAAGAAACCTCCAGTAACATTAACACAGAATTATGCCAGGCAGTAAGAAAAGGTGATCAAAGTTCTGTCTGAAGCATGTCAGATATGAATATGGAATAACCTGTTGAGCTAGAAAGAACTGCATATAAATATCCCTTTACAATACAAACTATTTAACACGCTTTGATTCTAGTCTCATCAGGATCCAAGTGCAGAGTCTATTACATTTTTGAAAGCTTTTAAGGCATTGAATATCCAGAAATAAATTCTGTGTGCTACTATATAATATCAAGACATTACATAAAATCAATTTGTGTTGACTGCTGCTAAAGAGAATACAAGACTCCTTTCCATGCTAATCAGAACTGAACAAAAAATATCCGCTGTTTAAATGAGATAAAAATCACTGGAAGTAATAGCCTTAATCCAATCATACGAATTTAGGAAAAATGAAATGTGCAGCAGTGTCGTGGTTTAAGCCCAATAGGAAAATACTTATAAGCAGCTGCCAGAGGCAATAAATGTTTGGGGCTATCTGGCATAATGAAGAACCTTAGTGCTGAAAACTCTTCACATCTTTGAAATGCACTTAATTTGTGCTTAGTGTCAGATGCTGTTACTTAACTAAGACAATTAGCCAATATCATTGGAAGTAATGAGAATTAACTGATAGGCGACTTGTAGGGACAACACACAAGTAGCAGTAAGTCAGTATATTCACATTTTATATGTGCAAATGTTGCCTTTATATACTGCATTTATACAAACACACAGATCTTTTATATACTTGTAATATATCCAGCACAGTGATCTTCTTAATCAAGCTCTTCACTTGCTTTCTAAAATTCTGAAAGGAGGCAAATTCAAAGCTCCTAATTTATAGAATCAGAGCCAGTTATATTAATTGTTGCTACTGGACACTTTAAAATTACTGTAACAATAAAGCTTCTACACAAAAAACCACTGTGCAGTACAGCTTACCAGAAATAAAACCTAATCCTCGTGAAAGGATTGCATTAAGAATAGAATTTTACTATTAAAATGCAAATTTATGGTTTCTTGTTCAGACTTATATGATCCCCATGCTAGGTCATTAGGAACCTCACTGGCCTAAGCACAGGTTTGTGTCACTGTTTACAGACAGACAAACCCCGCTTTGTCCCACTTTAAGCTGGGATGGAAGAACACGAGAGCCACAGGGTCTTGCCAGCACACCGCTGGCTTTGAGCTGTGCCCAGGCTGCAGCCTAGGCATGCAATGCCTCTGAGCTCAGCACCACCCTCACTTCACAACTTCCCATTGAAAGCAGCGTGCAGCCAACAGTCCAGCTGATAAACAGGCACAACAGCTTGAGATTTCCCTGTAAAAAGCAAACGATTCACTGCATCCCTTGTCTGACGAAGCAGCACTGCGATGGCAGAGTTCCTTGCTCTGGCACTGGCTAGTACCACCGGAGGCTCTGACCCAGTCTCTAGAGGCCAAGCTGGGAGCTTGCTGGAGTTGCAGCACCTCAAGGAAGACTGCCTGTGTAATGACAAAAACCCCAGCAGCTGCAAAATCATCTAAATGTTTTCCACCTTTCATCAACAGTTGCTTTCTGCCACTTGGTCACAGTTAGCAAGATTACTTCTGGCCTGAGGATGTGCAGAAGCATTTGCAAGATCAAAATTTGGATCTTTTGGAGATAAAAGATAAAATTGGAGTTGGACTGACAAGAAAGCTTGATACTTGCAAATGATCCTTGACAGTGGTCACAGTTTCTGCCCTCTCTCTGAAGGAAAAATCACCCAGCTGAGAGGAATTACACACCATGTGGGTGTTCTCCCAGAGAGACCCTATAATGTGACAAGTGGTAATAGATGGGATTTTGCAAAATAGCAAGATCATGGATTTGAAACGCTGGAAAATTAGAACACATTTTTGGCCACAGGCTTCTATTTTAGATTTTTATCCAAATCTTCTTCTAAGTTTTAAACTATACAGATTCAAACGTCAAGGCACCGAGAGACAAACATGCAGACAAAGTCAAATGACAATTTAGGCACAAACAGATGGGAACGCGAGGGAACTCTCAAACAAGGTACTGAAGTAAGCAACAGATTTTTCCATCCTTTGATACTTTTCCAAAGGACACTTTGCTCAGACACCAGTTACTAGCTTTAATGGAAAACTGGACAAAACCCTGTAACCTGCAACAAACAGCAGATCGGAGTAGATGGGCAAAAGCCTTCTGTTAGCCTTACAGTGTAAGAACACATAAGATACAGAATAACTTTTGTCCTGTGAGTAACATGCAAAAAAAACAACAACCCAGTACTCTCCAGGTCATGAGAGAGCCATGGATTTTCCACATGATTTTAGCCAACAGAGAATTCCTAAAAATTACCTCTGGAATGCAAAGAAATTCTCTGTTCACAAGCATAACATACATACAATTCCACAGAGCTATGGGAGGCAATTTAATCATGGCAAATCTATGGAGAAGTTTTTGTAAATACCACTCTGTGGACAATAAACACCCATTAAATCCTGTTGTTAACGTGAAAGCTAATTACACTGTTTCATTTGTTTTTACTACCACCGACCTGGTGCGTGTGTCAATAAACAGCACATTAGGTCTCTTCTGTTCCGTATAAAGTATGTTTTCTTGATTCAGCCGTATACATACAAATGAGCCAAACAAAACAGCATACTTACTAGTTATTTGTTTTGTAGGCACTTCTCTAACTTAGTGCTCCTTTGCCCTTCTCTATCTTTCATCTCTAACACTTGTTAAGCCACAGTACAATATAAATACCACATTGTGCTAACAGCACTGAACTTTGGGAACAACCTCCCAAAACCATTTCCTATGAAAACCAAATCTTAAAAGAGTATCTTCCTTGAAGTCTGTACAAGCTATGCTGCAATTAGTAAGACTCAAATACAAAACCAGGTTAGTATCTTCTGCTGTTGTTTGCTGCTACTGTAGAAATAGTTTGAACGATGCTTGAAACCTGAAAGAAGCTGTGCAGCAATTGATGGACCAGCCAACCGGAGAGAGCTGGTGCTTCACACCCGGCCATCTAACCAGCCCTTTTGACTGAACAGTCACCACATGCAGGTCCCTTCAATGACCCAATCGCTAGATGGTTTCTGTAAAGATTATACAGAACAAGGGATTATTATTGGTTTGGGCAAAACCCAAACTCAAACCATCCTTGGTTTCAATTTCAGTTTCACAGCTTCAAGAAGTAAATGAACACCAAAGTTCCTGGCACTACAGGATATTCAACACAGCAAGTAAGGTGGTGTCTGGGTCAACAGAGGCCTCCTGCTTTACTGCAGAACTCCTGGCTCACCCACACGTTCGGTATGAAACTGGGAAAGCCCCTAGCTTGAACAAGGAATGGTTCAGCAAATCTGAAGGATTTGATAGTTACTTCAAATTTACGTAAAAGGGAAGATGGCGTGAAAGCTCCTCTGACATTGGAAAGGATTTAAGCCAGATTACTCTTTCTCTCTATGAACACTGAAGTCACCTGTTCCTTTTCTAAGCATCAGAGTAACCAAAACAGGATTTGAACTTTAAAATTAACAGTCTCTGTGGTGAGAGAGAAACAATACTACTGTATCCCAACCAAGCTGTGTTTATGTAATCCAGGCACACGTTTCCTGTGTCTGATTTGGACAAAATGGGAGCAATAAAAGCCTTGGGGCTGCCATTGTAAAATCCTTTTTCAGACCTTCTTTTAACCTCCAACTCCAATTCACCTCTATGAAAAGGTCTGTCCAACACCAGCCTTGAGGGATCAGATAGACCACAGATAGCATGGATATCATGAGAAAGTAAGTCTTCACTACCACTACCATAGACTGGAATTTTATCAGAATAGTTCATCTCTTTAGTACTTTGGCCCATGAGAATGTGAAACAGAAAGCATCTCTCCCACAAGCAGGACTGATTCATCGGGCAGGCTGCCTCCCACAGTGACCTCTGCCAGCTCATTCTGAGACAAGAAGTCTTGAGACTCGGGACAACTGCTGGATTCATAAATGCACAAATATAGGACTTGGGGCTTATAAAATGGAACATCAGAATTTCCATAAAGCTCAGAAAAATATCTTTCTCATATATATATAATTATAAATATATATTTATATACATAAAAAAGACTTTCATGTAGCCTTTATCTGTCACCATGACAGATTATGTTATTCAAACACTGCTCCATCTGTATATTAAATAAACAATGATCACAATTATTCTTTCTTTTTGGAAATCAAACGGTCCCAACTACACAGGAAGATGTGGTCAAACAGGGGACTCTTCTTTTCAGCCGAACACAGCACAAATGCTAAATGTTAAATGCTTCATTTCTCCAGGAAGTTTCTCTTGGATGACTACACCCAAGTGAAACTGAGAGAAGTTTTCTTTTCTTTTTTTTTTGCAAGGAACTAAGTGAACATTTGAACCTAATGTTTCGTTATCCTTCCACACCAAAAGCAAGTTTGGAAAGTTTACTGTTTGAAGCTCCAAAGGAGTATCTTTATAAAAAATAAAAGAGAAAAAAAGAAACAAAACAAACCAAACCACCACCACCAAAATATAATCAATCCCTCCATAACTGGAACCACTACTGCCCTCTACAGTCTTTTGGGAAAATTCTGTTTACTGAGCAACTCTGCTCCTTTAATAGACACACAGAGAAATATATGTATGTACTGTGACGTTAAACAATCTTGAGTTAAAACCTGATTTAAACCTAGATATTTTAGCAACGTTGTCTTTACAATGTCACACTGAATTTTGAACTGCCTCAAACATGTATGTTATGGAGCTGGCTATGTTAGCACAACGACAGACACATCAGCATGTGTCTTGGGCAGAACTGTCTACAGCTGCAGTGGAAGGCACCCCTGCTTGGTCTCCATGTGAAGCATGTTGCTGGACCCAGAGCATTTGATACTTTCACCAACATGTGAAGACAGCCATGCACATTGGGTTCATTGCTGAACAACCGGTCCCAGCAGGAGCTTCACAAGGAAGTGGAAATCAACAGTTACCATGATGTATAATGCACGAGACATCTAGGAAATCAGAAATCAAAACATGGCCCCAAACATGCACAAAAAAAAAAAAAAAAAGAAATATCCAGAAATGGGTTCAAACAGCAGTGCATTACAGTAAATCCTCTTTGGAAATCTGTCTTTGAAGTGGGAGAGAACAGGGGAAAACAGAAAACAGTTTGAATAATGCATTCTTTCTACTATTCAAAAGCAGATGTATATGGGTTGTATCTTGCCATCCAACTAGAACATTTTCACCATGACAGGGAAGAAGGAACATCCTCTATCAAAGAAGCAGCAGGCAACTTCCATATTAGGTCAACATTTCTGGGTTGTTATTCAGACCTAGCAAGAGAGATAACAAGAGCCAGAAGCTGCCATAGTCCTGTTCACCACAGTAAGCGCTGCGATGCCAAGTGGAACCTCAGCAAAAAAAAAAACATTCCCAAGAGTCAACACGATGTAAGTCTATAGCCCCGCTTTTTGATCTGTGGACTCCTGGGAACAAAACACAATTAAACCAGCCTTGGACAGATTTCAGAAGTTGCTTTTAATTTTGCAGGCCTGTTTTTGCATATGCAAATTATCTGGAAAAGAAATATGGGACAGCAGAAATGTGGAAATATCTATTTTGATGCACAGTGCAGACAGAGAGATATTTAGCTGTCTGATTTCAAGACACATTTGCTTGTCTTCAATGAGCTTAACTATTCAGTTGTTTAAGCCTGAATTTTCTGAGTATGCAAAAGAAACTGAGCAAGCCAATTGTGATACTAGGTTTCAAGTGAGTGAATGTACAGCCCTTCTAGTTGTGTTCAAAGGAACAAGTCAAGGAACACCGTGAGACACTTATTAGCTTCCTAAGCTCAAATGCCAAAGCCCCAGGGGTTTGGTTTTGCAAGTGGAGCTCTCAGCATGCATCTCCACTAGCAGACTGCTCATTCAGCATTTCCATTATGCAGTCGAACAGGTTGAGATCTGAAAACCAGTAATTTCTTCTGAAGTAAAACCTTGGCAAAACATCTTTGGTCAGACCAGAAGCAGATTTTGTTTTAGAAAGAGATTAAGTTTATATTAGAAAGAAGAAATATTTATAAAAAACCCCACATTATAAAGCAATAGTTTTATCAAGGCCAGATTAGCTTCTGAAGTAACTGGCTCAGAACTTGGGAGGCTCCAAAAGCTTCTCTGCTCAGTTACAGGGTGATGAACCTCCACTACAGTCCTGGAATTACTTCCTCCTAAGAGGTCCAGTGACAGGTTTCTGAAAATATTAATTCAAAGACAGGATGTTGTAATTTCCCTCTTAAGATAAGGGTTGGATTTGCCCCCACACTTGGGGATATTCCACTAGATCTTAACTGAGTATTGGGAACCCTTCCCAGTCAAGCGTACTAAGGAAATGACTGTGCCAGTTTTCTGGGCCATTAAGAGTAGATAGCTCAAAAATAAGATGTCCAGGACTAAGGAATGGTATGATCACAATAAGCATGGACATGCAACCCTCTCTTTGGCTTAGGGATCAAGCTAACCTTCCTCCACTATCAGGACAGCTGGTCTGCTGCTGGAAGCCCTGTGTTAGTTTCAGGCAGCCTGGACTGAGATCAATGGGCTTGTCTAATGACATAACAGATAAGTGACGTTTCTCCCCCAGTGCAGCCAGGCCCTGGAAGCATCACAGGATCATGACACAGAGAAACAGCTATGCTGTGAGAGCTCATGTTGCAGAAAAACCCTGTTATAGATTTGCACTGTTACAGAAAAATAAAAGTAGTTAGAAACAGGTTAAAAAAAAAAAAAATCAGAATGCTGCTTTACATCAAAAAGCAATGCTTAAATTCTTTCAAAACCTCATACACGAGCATCTGGAAAGGCACATACTTTACATTAGTGTTGGTGCAGATGATGTATTCAATCTCATCAGAGTAAGGATTCTGAAATGTGAAGCTGCTGGTTCTGATAAGCATCCATTCCCGGTTTTTGGTGCGAAAACGATACATCACAGACAGGACTTGACCTTTCAGTTTCACAACCTGCAATACCATTCAGAAAGGTTAATGTAAGGAGATTGCTACCTTCTGTGCAAATGAATAGAGCCCAGCAATAACTGGTGTGTTTTAAACTTGAGTTACAGAAAGCTATGGACACATTCTGGCTTTCAAAATAGGAAAGAGTGAGCCACTATTTGAATGGACAGAACACTGACAAGCCACTGTCCATTTTAATGGTATTAACGAAAACAGCAAATTCTTTGCTTGGACAGCCTATTTGTTTATAACTAAGAATTCAGACATCTGGCAACACTCAGTTCAAATTCTGGTTTTGATGAGGTTTTGTTGAAGTCAATAGTTGGGCATCAAGTGAGAATTAAGAAGCAGCCAAGTAAAGTACACTCAAAACAGTATTGGTACAGTGGCACTGTAGTTGCCTTTCATGTGGCATCTAAAAACCTTGGTTTAAGTCAGAAGAAAATTTATATTGTTCCAAGTCATTCAGCTGGCACTTACCTGGGCTATCTATGTTTATTTTTTACTGCTTTTCCATCAAGCTATCTCAGGGGTGCCTCAGGGAAGGAAAGGGAAAGTCTGCTGCAAGGAAATGCCACATCTCATTGTGGACTGTTAATCCTTATCCACTGGAATTTATTTTCTATTAGCTATCTGCAGCCTGTGTTCTCTAAAAGGAGAAAACCCCAGTATTTACCCTCTGTCTTTATCGACAAGTAACTGCATTAATAAAAATGCTTCAATCCTGTTTTTTCCAAAGGTCTGCATTTCAATCTGATCAACTGGATATGGAATTAAATTGAAGGAATGCAAATAAAAGATAAAAAGCCCTTTAGTAATGCCCAAGAAAGCTCAAAATAATATTGAGGCAAATGCCTATTTTTTTACTACTTTTGTAGTTTCAGTTCAGTGAGTAACATTCTTTTATCAGCAATTTTCTACTACCACACCCAGGGTAGAAAGCACAGAGCTTGTGTAAAAGTGTTCAATCTGAACAGCATCCTACTGGACATCCAATAGCTGTATTCTGGATTCTTTGATACTAAGCTCTACTTGTTGATTTTGGCCTTGAGGCTATCTTATTCCAACTGATTTTCCCACCCTGATGAATGAATTTATCTTCCCAAGGAAGTAAAAGCTTTGAGATGGATTCTGGCAATTGACCAAAACCTGTAAAACCCTCCTCCCTCCTCTGTTATGCCCCAAGCTGGTTCTGATACTGTCAGCAAATTAGAAATGTCAAGTTTTGAGAGGGTTTTTAAAAAATAAGTGTTACTGGAAATCACAGTTGTGTTTTAACAGAGACTTCCATGGCCAAACTAACAATAATAAAACAAACTGCAGTGATCTATTGTCCTGAAGTCTGAATTAAGCAAACATTAATTCTGTAATAATATATAAAGAATAGAGATCACTAGTGGGAAAATCCTGAACTGTCTTAAACCAGTGCACACAAACAAAATAGCACAAAAAAACCCAAAGCTAATATTTAATCTTTGCTTTCTTGCATTCTTTGGAAATAAAAACCACCTGGTGCATAGCTTAACTGTTTACTTCAGTCTTTTATTGCATGACTGAAGGAACAGCCCAAATCATACTGCTGCTCTAGTGAAAAAAAATATACTTAAAAAGGAATTGCCTACCAAAGAAACAGCACAGTATTTTCATAGACTGGACACAGGTTGAGTGAACAGAAACTTTCACTTAATCTGCACTTTTTTCTGCTCTCTTTTGTATGACCTTAAGCAAATCATGTAGGTCTGATCCAGCAAATCATTTGTGCACATGCCTAATAGTGAGTAGTGACAGTGAAGCCCCCAGCAACCCAGTTCTGAGATACTCTGGCAGCTTCCCACTGCCTGATCTCACTCTGGGTGAACACTGTGTGGACCAAGTCATTAACTTCAATGTTAGTTAGTCAGCCCTTCTGAGCCCCAGGCAATCACTTCAGAGACGGATGTTTGACATGTTATTATCCAGCAGCTCTCTGTCATTGTCTCTTGGATAAATTAATGGAATCAATCATTTGGGCACTAGTGAAAAACAGCGTATGTGTTCTTGCTGTTCTTGCGCCACTGGTGCGATCAGGCACAAATTCAGGGAGCTGAAGCAGCTGAAAGCCAGTCCCATGCAAAATCAATTAGTACCCTAACTAGCCCACCCAGCAAGTCCATCTGTGCTAGCATCGCCGCAGTAGAAAGGGTGGGAAGGCCAGGGAGAAGATGGGGAGTACCTGACTCCTGGTGACAGCTACCCATCAGGTAGGTTCAGCTGCTACATCACACCCCCACCCAAGGTGGGGCAGAGAAGGTAACTGGGAGTGGTGAACCTATGTAAAGCATCTAACTTTCACAGGCTCCTCCCTGCGAACCAACATCCTGAAAAGTCTTTGGTTGCTCTTTGAACTCAGCCTGCTCAAGGGACACTGAAATGGATGCAGAGTGTTCACAGCCTTTTCTGCTAGCTCAGCAGTGGGGCTGGTAGCCTATGCCTGAAGGAGGGGATGGTGAGAAATAGCTCAGGAGTCGCAGTACCCTACACTATCTCCAATGCTTCTGTAGAGACCATAACCTCAGTTTCACAATCTATCAACGCAGAACAGCATCTAGTTGTTTTCCCCACAGAGGCTTTCCAGGCTCACTTTTTGCATACCATGCCTGAATAAATAGTTAGTTATACAAATTGTTTTAGAAGTCACTTCATATCCACACCTCACAGCTAAAAATACATCTTAGTATCCAACGCAAGATGGATCATCAAATCTTGCTTGAGCTATAGGCTGTTGTCAAGAAAATCTGGAACCACTTAGATCAACTGAACCTCAGTAATCAGTCAAACATAATATGCCACGCTCTCTAGTGCAGCAGGGAAGGTGTTGAAAAGATCAGCAACAGGCAGAGGGCTTGGGGAAAGCACTCCTACTGTATGTCCCAGACCAATTTGTAACACTAAGCTCTACAATGGAATAAATGCCTTTGATATGGCTGATGTAAAAACATGGCCCACTGTAAAAATGAATCCAAATCAGTAACTCTTTCCATATGTTGTATATCTTTTGTTACTTCTCTCTGCATTCCAATTTCCTAGTAGGAAAAAGGGTCAAATTCTCTGTTGATGTGAAGTGGTGTAACTTACATTAACTTATATGAAGTATATCATCTATGCTAGCAGAGAATTTAGGTCACAAACAATCCAGCATTAGAGGGGTAGAACTACTTTCAAATCAACAGCCCATCTTGGGAGCTAAATACTTTCAGTTGCCACTTAACAGAGTGGGATCTGTGCAGGCATCTCCAGAACAGCTGTAACTGTGAGCACCCATTTAAATTTTTGTAAAAAGAAAGCAAAATGTATAACTATGTTGACTTATTTCTGAAAATACAGCCAACACACATGCTGCATTTAAACAACCATTTCTGCAGCTTAACTGATTACTAACTGATCAGCAAATTGTTTCCTATCTTGCCCGTCCTTCTCCTGTATAACAGAAGAAATACCTTGAAATGTAAAATAAAAGCTACTTCTCTGAACAAAATAATAACAACAATAATAAATAAATCATGGAAGAAAAGGAGCAGGACATGGCACCTGTTGGAAACTCTCTCTCAAATGGCTTTGATCTTCAGGATGGCAGAATTCTAAAATATCTTTCCCCAGAAGATCCTAGAATAAAACATAAAGATGTGTAAAAACCCCAAACCACAGCACAAATCCGCTGGCAGATCTCCAAGTAATCCTTGCAGACACTACCTCTACCTGCCTTAGTGGGACTATTCAGTTAATCAGGTATGAATCATACAAACAGGTTTGTAGGCATCATGTCCCACACTGTATTTCTACTGTTGCACAGATACATGTATTTACAAACAAATTTTAAGTGTTTTGTTTTAATAACAGTGAAATAGTGTCTTGAAGAGACTGACATCCTCTACTACTGCTCATTTTATGGCACTAGTTTTTGTAAAACAATAAAGCTACCTAAAGTCAAAGTAAACGGGAAAAATAAATGAGCAAGAAATTTTTTCTTCCGAACTGCAACTACTGAGTTGAGTCCAAGGGAGAGTTGTGGTAGTCAGGATTTCATTTACTATTCGACCCAGTTCTGGGACTAGCCTCCTATTCAGAGGAGCAGATGTAAGCCTAAAGAATAACAGATGCCATAAATGATGTTCGCTTACTGCTCAATAGATTGGCAGAAGCAAAGATCTACATGACTAAAACTCTCTCCAAGCACTGTTAACTTTTTATCACAGAACTGTCTTCAATGGAAAGCTGTGAAGGTTTAAAGCATCTGCGTATTTCCAGTGCCTCACTGACCTGGGGCTGGTAGCCAATGACGCTGATGCACCTCGGGTCGACGAAGGTAATGACTCCATCAGAATTGTGCCTGGACAAGAACTCAGTGGGGACCGACATGCCATTCATGTCCATGCACACTGGAGAGCTGGTCACCTAGGACCAAATTAGCCCACAGAACAGTCACGTTAAGTCAAATTTCATTACACAGCTAAAGAACAAAATCTGTTGGCAGACTGCTAATTACTAAAGGAGGTCATAAATAAAACAACAGCACAAATAAATGACACACAACAGCCTTTAGTCTAGTTTGCAAATATCTCACCCCAAGACACCTATCTAGACTTAACAGCATGGCAGGAAAATAAACACACAAGAAGTTCTGAAGAAGGATGGATTTAGTAAGGATATAAGTACAGCTGGATTCATATCCATAGATTCCTACTGAGGACACAAACTGGACTACTGTTTTCTTACAGCCTTCAGAAATAGCTCTGTTGACAAGGTCCCAATGCAAAAAGAACAAAATCTCATTATTTTGCTGTCTTGAAACAGATTAGCCTGTTAACTGTATGCAAGACTTCAATCTGCTGCTATAGAACAGTTTTAATTAGTGCACCTTGACTCCTCTATGACTAAGCCCATCCACAGAGCCTCCCCTTGCTCTTCCTCAGATAGCCTGCTGGATCTTTTAAAGTAACAGATGTTTTGACACTCCACAAGTTACTCATGTAATTTTCTTGGAAATAATTTTTCTTTGGCAGTTGTAACATATGAATCCCCACAACTTCCTTTTCTCCAACAGTGGAATATATTACCCGTGATTATGAAAGCATGATTAACCTAAAAACCATCATGCAACACTTTTGCCGCTCTGCCATCACGATGGAGACACGCTCTGCAGAATTGCTAACACTTGCAGTAATGTGCAGGCTGTTCTCTGATAAGATGAGCTTAGCACCTGTGCTCTAATGAAAGGGTCATTCTACCTTGTCAGAAGGAGTGATGCCATCCTAGCAGATGGTAATGAGTGCACGCCAACAGGAGATCATGCAAGAGGCTCAAACACGTTCACCCATGGCAGAACTCCCAGACTGGGAAGATAAAAATTAGCCTTCCTGCTTCGGTGAAGGAGATTCACCGTGACTGCTCTAGCTCCTGCTCAGAGCTCTCGTCAGCAATGGATAAAGGAAGAAAATGTAACACACCAATTGCAACCATATGGACGAAAAGGAAGTAAAATTTTATCCTGACAGTTCCCTTGGCTGACATCACATCTGAATGCACAATACAATACACACTGAGGATAAAGCTATTCTTTGTGAAGTGCTTCTTGACTACCTTATCTTTACCATTTTCAGAATAACTCCTGCAATCAGAGTTTTTCAAGTAGCTGATTTGCCAGAATGAATGGAAGAATAGCAGGGCTTTAGGAGCCACTTTAACCTATCACCTGACGTGCCTGTACTCCCATGTTTCTCACTATCTACAATATCCCATCCTTACACACCCCAAAGAACATGAGGTTTGTACATGCTCATCTTCCAGGAGCATCTTTGCTGCTGTTTTTTGATTAAGTTCACATATTCACCAAAAACACATTTCCATTTTCCTCTGTTGACATTTTCTAAACAGGTGACTGGCTGCACACAGACATCAAGGTGCTTTATATTTTGGAGGCATGTTAAAAGTTAAGAATCTAGTACCAGAACTTTGTGCAAATCTTTTACAACTAAACCACAACACTGACTATGCTTTTGGAAGTAGTCTAAATGGAAAGACTGCATTACCTGAAGCCTTCCTATTGCCACGAGGCAGTATTTACTACCTTGTCCCACATCAGCATCTTCTTCTGGTATAGTCATTCCTAGAGCAAATAACAAACACTGTTATAATTGGGAAATTGAGACGAGCAGAGATGCTGCTAGACTGGTTCTATACTATTCTAAATTCTTTAAATCATTCAAAACAACCTTATTGTCTTCTCTAGGATTCAGGCATCATCTCTGGGCTCAGATTAGATGATCTTCCTCAGTCATGCTCAATCCTACATACCTCTCATGCATATACAGTACCCATGGCACCAATTTTGGCTGCTGGACAAAGCAGAACCAAAAATTCCATTATAAACCAAGATGGACAGTAACAGTTCTGTGAATACTACTTTGCAGCATGTTACTGGAACCTTGTGTTCACTTCATCTGGTTAGTGAATGCACATCATGTTAACTTTTCTTTGTGAACAATGTATTACAATGAGCCTTGAAAACAAGGCAGAGCCTAGATTACTCATTAACTTCGTGCTTATATTTAACAGCTGGTTTTACTTTTTTCTATAATGAACTAAATCTGGGTTCTTAAGTTGAAAGACTGAAAAAATGCGGATGCTTTGTGAATAGTGCCTGTTTCTGTTGTGTAACAGGAGTAACTATTATAAACACAGGAATCATTTCAAAACATACACGTGTACTGTTTCCCATCTCAGTATTTCACAAATAGGAACGTTCACATTAGCACTGTTTACTTGCTAGTTGGCTAAGTCTTTAGTTAAGGCTATTTCCCAACTCCAGGTTTGAGATAGCAATTTCCTATGAAGCACTTAAAAAAACCATCTTCCAAAAGTGACACTGCTGACTTATTTTAAGTGATGTGTAAACTCTTTCACAAGGCTTTTCAAGGAACTCAGTCACAACAGGTAGTGAATCATTTAAGAGGCACTTTAAAGCACTAATGAAATTAATTGCAAAGCAGCTACCAATTATGAAACAGCCACTTGATTCTCAAAGTTTATAATTCCCAATGTAAGTTAATCTTTGGACCATGCAGAGGATGACAGCATACAACTTCCTTAAATGACAGCTCCGTAAAAAGACTACAAATGCTGCTGAAGAAACTGAAGTGATCTCTGAAGGAAGTTATTTTCATCAAAATAGTTGAATCCTATCTGACAATCAGTTTCTACATAGCACTCTACAGGTAGTTTTTAGTTCTCTTTGAGCAATGTGATAAAATAAAATACACAAAGTATGAAAGAAAAAAAGCTGTATTTTTGGATTGTATATTCAAACTTTTTTTGCAATGGAATTCACAATTTTGGGGGTATATCTTCATTTGCAGCTCCCAACAGATGTGATTTTAACAGCTAACTGGGATCTCAGGAGCTTTACAAGGAAAAAGCGTTATTGTCCCTTCTGACAAGTGGGAAATTGAGGTGCAGCAGGAATTTCAGTGCCACACTACAAGAGCTGGGCAAAACCCCCGTGTCTTCTACACAATAATCTTGCTACCCAGACATAAAAACTTTTGCTCTAAATAACTCCTTAACTTCTAGACCCACTTGCAATCCTTCAAACAACAGGACACCCCTCTGAAATGTGTTCTTAGAAACTGTACAAGAAGATCAAGGTGGCAGTCTGTCACCTTAGGAATACATTATCATTAAACACTTAAGTGAAAAATATCACTGGGTGGAATCAACATGTTACTTTACAATAAAACATTATTTTGCGTTTCCAGTGAAGGTCCCTCTGTGGGTCACTACAGACCCAAACTTTCACTGGAGATTCTTCACCTCATTCAGAAAATCCTTAAAATGAAGACAAACTGCATATATCCCCCCTGCATGACTATTCTGTGCTGCTTGCAGTTTATCAGGTCCTTCAGGCAGCTAAATTACAAAGTCTTGCTTCAGTATTTCACACACTACTATTCCAGCCTCTTTTCCTCTACACACTAAGGAAACCACAAACAAGATCCCAAACACCAATAAGCCCCATGCTCTGAGACACCAGCATACTGTGGAGAGCATAAACCACTGACATGAAACTACATCTAAGAGAATTACTACAGAAGTACTTTGAGAAGCTAAGAGAAGTATTAGAAGTACTTTGTTTTCCTTCCTTGCTTTGTTTACACACAGTTATTTCTTCAATGCAAGATGTAGTAATAAGCTAACAACTCCAGTGGGCAAAGGACCTGAATTCGGCTGTCTCTTGAGAGACGAAATTACCCTGAAAAAGCAGAAGCAAACGTATCTGTGTTGGACCCAAACAGACCCAAATCTGTGTCCACTTAAGGCAAAATTTTGGCAGACACATGGCTGCTATCTGCTCATATACATGTGGAGCACAGGGATGGCTGAGCTTCCAAAACTGAACCTACACTCCTCCACATAAGCAATGTTAATTTTTAATAGGTAGAAAATGGTTAACTGACAGTTGTGTGGAGTTGCAGGGGATAAGAAGAAGCCAGAAGTTTCACCTGACAAAGTTGTGACTGGAGGTGTGAACTGAGAGCAGGACAAATGAAATGGTGTTTAGGAAGGAGCATGAGGACATTGATTCTGCTATGACAGAAATGCAGCACTGTACAAAAGCAACCATGGGAGGAAAGCAAGCACTGGAGCTATCGAAGAGTTGACCCAACACTTTGGCTGGAAGATGGCAGCTAGGACTGCATCCCTTCAGGAGATGGATGAGGAATCTCTTACTCCTCGGTCCTGAACTCAGCAGTGAGACAAGTTCAAGCATCAGCCAAAAGAACAAATATTCTAAAAGCTGGTGCCTGAAGCATACACCATAAACATACATACATAACATGAACATACAGTTACATTCAGACACCTCAGTATAGGGCGTCTGATCTCAAAGATGGCGACTGATTCTAGGTCCTACAATACCACCTTCAGAGGATTTTCTTGGTGGCTGCCTGGCACTTCTGAGAATCAGGCCACTTAAACATGGTCTAAGTGCTGTTTTAAGGAAATAACTGTAGGCATTCTAGTTAGATAACCTTAACCAAAAGATCCCTCTTAAATAGAGTTTTCCATTTGAGAAGGACAAATTTAAAGTATTTTCCCTTGACTTCAAAAGCTTTTTCAATCATTTCCTTAGTGGCACAGTGTATTGAGAATGACAGCAAAGACACTCAGCTGGATGGCTTTTACTTTGCATAATCTTTTTTCCCTGCAGCTTTCAAACATGCTTTCCTTTTTAGGAACTTGGTCCATGCTTGCTACTGCCCAAATAAACTCAAAGTAATAAGCAAGCTCCAAAATTAAACCTAGCTAAGAAGCATCATTTCTGATGTCACTCTTTTGGCAAGGGATGCTTTTCTAGTTTTCACCTTTTTGGTTTATTACTCCCCCCCGGGGTGGATTATATTTGGTCTGTGTAACACAGTGGAAAATGTATTAGTTGGGTTGTCTCACAAGATACCCTATGAATAAAAACAATCTGCCCTGAGTTAATCAATACCTGATCCAGTGAATTGCTAACCCTTCTCTAAAAGGGCCTAGAGTAAAAACATGCCAAAATGACTGCCTGCTCGTCTGCAATGTAGGTGCTGTTACTGACAGCATTCCATACAGGGAAATTATTTCCTTTATTGTTTGCTAATAGTTGCAAAGATTCAGCTGTAGGTGAGCTTTTTTGGAAGGATGCATTTGTATAAGGGATTTACTTTTGTTTTAGTGCACTTCCTATTGAACATACTTCAGTATAGACAGGTAAATAAAGATACATGCACTACACTTACTACCAGTTTGTCCAGCTTTTAACAAAATGTAATATTTCTCCTTAACATCACCAAGTACCATCATTATCTCCAAGAAAAAGTTGCAAAAGCCTGGAAGAAAGCAGCCATGCTTTAGGCAGTATTAACAAAACAAACATACATTAGCTATTCACATTCTTTATATGTAACCCTGAGACAGGATTTCTCAATACCAAATATATGTTCCTCTTGAATAATAAATATAGTGCTATGCTTATTCAATGATTCGGGTTGATGTCAACAATTCACAAAGCTCAACCTTCAGCTGAGCCTCACAAATAGAAGGCAGTGCCATTAGAGGTTATATTTAATTTCCAAGTATCCTTTATGCCAGCAGTTTCCCACAGGGCAATGGCATGTGTTTGTGTTGACATAAGAAACTTAAGAGTTTTCCCAATGAGCTACCAGTTGGCTCTAACAACACAACAGAACCACTTTCTGCCTTTTTTCTCTATCTTTCTGTGAAACACAAAATAGAATTAGTGGATTTGTGGGTTTATTTCACTACACTCAAAATTAAATGATTTATAAGTCTTCAGAAGGATGCTATTTAAGTGCCGAGTGGTCAGCAGCAATCCCCTCCTAATGGCTACCTTCATCAGAACCATTTCTGACAGTTCCACGCAGGGGCATGAAACTGCACTGTGTGACTTTATCTCCCATACATAATGGAAAATGGCTGTGGATGTTTACAGCAAGGAAAAATCTCGTGAAAGAAACCCAACAAAACTGAAATTCTTCTTTCTTTAGAAAAAGAAAAAAAAAAAAAAAAAGCCTTTAAAATGACAGCACTGCAAAGAATATTCAAGCAACTATTTTGTTTTGTATTGGAGGAGGGAGTACTTTGAACAAACGTCTAGATTCTGGCCAGAATGTTAAAATAACCTAACAGCTTTGGCATGCTGTGGTTAAGACGTTACGGTAAGTCTGACTTGGAAGACTAAAATGTTTCTTATTTAACTAAGGAGAAAAAAAGATTTCAACATTATTTGAATTTAACCTTATTCTAGGACTTTCTACTTGAAGATTTTGAAATAAGTATCTACCTAAGCTTTTTCTTCACTATATGTTTTTCTGCAGGTCCTTGGTTTTCATTTACAGGAAACTACCAACATCCTGACAGACAGTATCTTCTCTCTCCACCAAATATTTTCCCTCAATTGTTATGGCATGAAAAACAAACAAACAAAAAAACCTATTAGGAAAATATCATATAGACCACTTAAGATAAATTCCCTTCCAGAAATGAGATGCTCAGAGGGAAAAAAAAAACAAACCAAAACCCAGAAGAAAAGCAAATGGTTCCATAAGTTGAAAATGGAATGATCACAGCATTTCTCAGTTTTGTGACTGTTTATGAACTTGAAGCACTGTCTAGGTTAATGATCCCAAGTTCTTCTAGCTGTGCTGCTTTGCCAGGAACAGAAGGACAAAGGCTGGAATTTGTGCTCAGCCAGTTTCAAACAAGGGGTCTTTTTACCTCATTCAAAATAATCCAGCACTACATGGTCATTCTTTAATACAACATACAACATAACTGGTTGGAATATCATTCTGGAATTTCGCCTCCTTTATTCCTTTGACTTCTATACAAAATTTACCCCTATTACTTGAGGCCAACGTGTAATTTATGGGGCTATAAGCACGTAGGTATCATATGCCAGATTCTTCACCTGAGCTTAGCTTTACCCTTCTCTTGCAGAGAAATGGAGAAAAATCATCTGACCATTAACTAACAGAGCCTAAATGGAGGACAAGGCATGACGTTTCCTGTTTTCTCTCCTGTTTCTCAGTGGAAAAGGGGCTAAAGGCAGTCTGCCAGTAAGTGAGCTTTGCTTCTTCACTAAAGCAATAAAAAAGGAAAAAAAAAGGTAGGCTAGATGTGCAAAAGTGTTTTCATGCTGACCACAAACCTGAGCCATAACAGAATTTGCTTTCTACTTTAGATCTTTGGAAAAACAGCAACAACAAAACCACAAAACCCCAGTCCTTAAAATATGCCACCATGCTAATGGTCAGCTGCCCGTAGTTTATCTGTTTTCACCTTTTTAAAGTACCCAAATTACTTAAGAGACTTAGCAGACTGCTCACAGCATCAGCGTTGTCAAACCTGATACTCTATTGCACTAATAATGATCAAAGGGAAGTTCTTGCCTTGGTATTTCTGTATCAATACTAATTGTGTTATACCCAGTGTGGGACTAAAAAAAAATATTAACATATTGGCCACACACAATGCCACATAATCCAGGAACAGAAAATACCAGGTGCTAAACAAATCACATTGAGGGCATTTGCTAAATAGTTATTTCATTTATGAAAGTACATTTTATGCGCTGTGTAGTGGTTGTATAAGGCACATGCCATATTGCATCTCTGAAAGAAAAGGATAAGTTTATATTACAGTGTTCACTTGTCAACTAAAAAATAAATTAAAACCATCCTTTCCATAGCTGAACTTTTAACAGCTGTGATTTAGCACAAACCCATTTATTCCCAAGAAGCCACAGATGAAGCAAAGGCCAGAGCCTTGTTGCTCTCTGACTGATTAGAACAGAAGTAGAATCACAGAATAGTTAGGGTTGGAAAGGACCTAAAGATCATCAAGTTCCAACACCCCTGCCATGGGCAGGGACACCTCGCTTTAAACCATATCACCCAGGGCCTCGTCCAACCTGGCCTTGAACGCTGCCAGGGATGGAGCATTCACAACCTCCCTGGGCAACCCATTCCAGTGCCTCACCACCCTAACAGGAAAGAATTTCCTCCTTATATCCAATTTAAACTTCCCCTGTTTAAGTTTTAACCCATTACCCCTTGTCCTGTCACTACAGTCCCTAATGAAGAGTCCCTCCCCAGCATCCCTATATGCCCCCTTCAGATACCGGAAGGCTGCTATGAGGTCTCCACGCAGCAGGGTAGAAAAGCCCTAGCAAATTCAATTACTGATGCAGATATTTCATTTGCTTTACAGATTATGGTTGAATTACGCCTGGAAATGAGAATAAATGCAGTGGTGTTGCCACTTATTTACCCAAACGTATACTGGGGACCATTTCAGCCCATGGATATTTCCATTCAACTTCAGAAGTCAATGGATACATGACAATCACCAGTACAAAGTGGGGAAGACTAGGAGGGCAAATAAACACTCATGAAAGACCCTCTGGTTCAGTACGATATGCCCTGAGAAAAGCGCTCCAGCATGACTATTATGAGTAACAATTTGGACGGTAACATAAAAGAACACTGACATTCCACATAAGGCTGTCAAAATTGAAGACACCCCTTAGGACTGTGCTATAGTTTGGAGGCATTAAAATTGTGGAGGAGCAGTGGGATATTATAAGGGAGCACCATGTGATCTTGAGGAGTGGAGTAATAGAAATGGGATGAAATTCAACATTACTAAATGCATAAGCATGCACTCGGGGACTAATAACAGCCATAAAGTACAGCAACAGAAATGGGATGAAACTTCATATTATTAATTGAAAGATCACACAATTCAAAGCTATTTTTGCTACGAACTGGAAGATTTGGACTTGACAACTGAGAAAAAGGCAGCCTGGTGTGTGCATATATATATATATATATATTTCTATATATATATCAGGTGATTTAAGACGCCAGCAGGATACACTATACAAAAGAGAAGCATGCTGTGTCATATACTGCAAGTCAAGATAGGAAATACCACTTTCATTATACATTATTACAATCTCACCTGGAACAAGAGTGTATAGTGCCAATGACCCCCATTTTGAAAAGTTAAGTGGAAACACAAGTGCAAAGAAAAGACACAAGGATAAAGAGGGGATGCCTTGTGAGAATGGACATTAGAAGAAGCAGGCTGGTTTAAGCGTGCAAAGTCAAGGCTGACAGGATATGACCTCCTTTTGTAAATGCACCAGAACACTGGAGAGAGACAGACACGAGGCAGGAAAACTCCCACTTGATCTTCAGTGAAATACAAGAATACACTGACATAGACTTCCCATAAACTAATGAGGCCTGGAAATTAAAGAGCTTGTTAAGCATGGGAGAGCAGTGAGGTTTTGGAAGAGCTCAAGATGGGGACAACACCTCACTAAAGTGCACTAGAACTTACAATGTGATAACTGGCAACTGGGCACTCAAAAGATCCCAAAGTTCCTTTACATGTCATGCTCCTGCTCAGCAGTGCCTGCTCCCCTGCAGAAATGGCTGCTGAATTCATACACAGCTGATGTTTGTAACTCAGTAGTCACATGAATTCATGAGTTTGCAGCTCTGCACCCTGAAGTGTTAGATCTCTTTAAACATCCCATACCATGCAGCAGGCTTTTCATTCAAGGTAAGCAAGGAGCTGCAAGAAATCTCATTTGACCTGAACCTTCCTGAAGAGACATCCTGTATATGAAGGCTGAATTCAATTGTGTTTGGAATTACTGATAGAAAAGTTAATCTCTCTGTGGAAGAAAAACACCCACAAATTCCCAAGCTTTCATTTTTATAAAACAATTTACACACTCTGTGCTCTTGCTCTTTTGAGACAGAAATTAAACTGAAACATTTTGACTCCTACAACACAATGAAGGATATTAACCCCATTAGCAAGAAAAGGGAAAGTTTTCCTCTTCTTCCAAAACTGCAATTCAGCACGAAATCAACAAGAAGTTCACATCTGTATGCTGGTGTCTGCACACCACTGCACAGACTTGGTGGAAATCACCTCTTAGCATCCATAATCCTTGCACAAATGTGATTTACGCCTGTGGTACATGACCACAAAAGGGCAGGACAACTCATGGTTTGATTCATGCCAGCAGGCACTGTCATACTGCAAACAGCCTCTCCAACTACTGCAAACGCCAAGGTCAGCTCACCCAGTTCATGATGGTGTTTGGATGAGCTCTGCTGTCTCCTCCTTGGATTTTTCAAAGGTAAATATTCCCATATGTAATACTGAGTTACAGTAGGTAAATGTTTTTCTCTGTAGTTCAAAGCAATATGCCAAGACTGGTTTCCCAGAAAAACAGCCTCAAAACAGAATTTAATGCAATCTTTGAACATTCTCTACTAACCCCAACAGTGGGAAGGCCCATGCACCTAAATTACACATTTCCATACATGGGTGCTTGCAACTCAGTACTTAAGCATAAAAGCAGTAGTTGGTATTTTCTAGTAGTACAAATGTTTTGTGTCTACCTTATTAAAATCAGGCCATTTTTATGTTTGTTTATCAGAGTGAAAACTTCTGATCCCAGTTGCTGGAATTCTGCATTACTGACAATTCCTACAGTTCCTTTGTGCCAATGAAACTGGGAAGGGCTTCACATGGTAAAACAGGGAGGCCCTGAGTAACAGCTACTTCTTGCTATCAAAAGCTTCTCAAGATGAGACGGAATTGGTTATCCCACTAAAATTAAGCCTGGTTTTGTACCAGCAAAGGACTCTGAGCCAGGTTTTCAACTGCCTTGAAGACAGTGTGGTGCACAGCACCTTCAGTGAGACAGATACATACCTGCTGGTGGCCAAGCCTTGATATAGCCAGTGCAATGGACAACAGCATATTGTGCTTCACCTTCTTTTACTGGGCCAAGGCCATTCCTAAATGAAAAAGAAACACAAAAATATTGTGTTGATTGACATGCAGAATAGCTTTATGCTTTTAAACTACAATTACTAATGATTTACTGGTATTTGTAAGTTATTTTAGAAACAACAAACCTGGAGCTCTGTACTACCTCAGCTCCATTAAATGCTATTCAAGCCATACCTGCTTTCTGTAATACTTCTCTGAGAAAGACACTGCAGAATGGAGCTGGTTAAGACAAAGAAGTTGAGTGACTCGTGTAAAAAGATCTGGTTTGCAAAAAGATCCAACGACTCTGCTAACAGTTGAATTTAGTGGTGAGTTCTCCTCCCCTGAGCCCCAGTGCTGTTTCGCGCTGTGTGCTAATGCAGATGAAGTTTGGCCAGTCTGTATTCCCTGAGGGAGCATTAGCCCAGTAGAAAAATGAGAGTGCTTATGGCAACTAACTGTTGTGATAAGTTAAGTAATAGTACCTGTATCTTTTTCTCATGGTGGTTATTCTATTCAGAGGTAAATGGTCCAGAGGAGCATTTCCACACCTAAAAAGTAAATTAATATTTGAAATGGCTCAAAAAAGAAAAAAAAATACCCAGGATGAAAATACATTTTAAGACCTTTATTAACATATACAAGTAGACAATAATGGATATTTATTTCTGACAGAAAGTCATATTCATGTTTTCTTAGAACTTTCTGCTTCCACAGGCTGAGCTTTTTGTGTGTGCTACAAACATTCTTTTTACTTCAGAACAGAAGAGACTACAAGAAGTTTCCCTCCTGCACTCCGCCAACCTAAAAACTATTTGAAATAGGCATTCCAAGAGTGGCTGAAGTACAGATACACTTCAAAATACCGTACAACAAGGGTAAAAACTAGAAGAGAATATAAATCAGTCCCCATTTATCCATAGAAAATAATCCCAGCGTTCCAGTAGCTCCCTTGGACAGAGCATTTCAACTGCCATACACCAGCTACAACACTAGCAGCTATTGAACTAATGCTTGCAAGAACAGACTATTTATACTGTCAAGTAACTTTCTTTAAAACTTGACCATTTACATTTTTTTATATCACTAAATACGCCCAACTGTATAATTTTAACAATCCATTTGAAGCTGAGCAGTTTGAAAAGTAAAAGCCATTAATTTTCAATGGAAAAGAAGAACAATAACAATGAAAGACATAATCACAAGAGAAGTTCACGTTATTTAAAGCTCATTCTTCCCACAAAGTTTGGGTCTTATTTTGGGGTTTTTTTTTTCCACACCAGTCACTGCCAAGGAGAAGGAATGAACAATTACAATAAAATTTAGAATTCAAAAAAACAAAACAATGGGGCTGGCTACTGGCATGTGCTCTCATGTGCTGGAGCTTACTGAATCAAGAGTGCTAGGAAATAACTGCAATCTGAATTGTTTTGAAAGCAAAGGAACAACTGTAAACAGGACATTAGGCCTAGTTTTCTTTCCACAAAAATGTTCTCCTCACATGATCACTGTGTGCAGCTTGAAGGAAGAAAAAGCAATGTTCCCAGTGTCTCTCTGTCAGGTGGTATGTCTTTCCCCTTGCTAAAGGGGGAAGAGGTCCTATAGCTCTGAAGTCTGACCTTGGGAGATATAAAATAAATAAAACCCTTAAAAAGGCACCCAAGAGCCACACATTCAGCCTCCTCACATGAGTGAAAAAAAATTCACCACATAAGTACAGGCATCTGCTGTAATGGGTCAAATACTTTGCTTTGCGTGTTCCATTTCATAACAAATTTTGCATCATCTGTATTCAGCATATATATTGGATATAGGCTGCAGATGCAATTCTGTACTTTCCCTACTAACCACAGAGACAGAAACTTATTGCAATAGCAACAGGCATTTTACCCCATTAGCACTACAATAACAATAGCACCCACAAGCCCCAGCCAGAAGCACTGGTCAGGCAAATCTCTTTCAAGAAGACAAGCAATGCAGAAGAAGTCAAAAAATTGCAAAACAAAAGCCTCTAACAATTACTCATTTATCTAGCATCAACCAGCTGACATCTGGTTAATTCATACCAGGCTTAGGTTAATTCCTACATAGCTGGCAAGTTTGCAACTGAATTCCTGTTTGTCTTCAAGATTCTTTTAATATTATTGGTTTGCTAAAAAAAATACACAGAGTTTGGCTTGTGAAAGCCTTGTTCCTAAAGTACTGATTTAAATAATTTGACTGGAAGAGACAATGGCTTACATTCCAGGGGTGAAGTTGTCATGAAGTTCTCTGGGGAAAGCATCCTACACTCCACACTGATAAAAATAACTGCAACACCTAAATTTGGTGCTGTTTTGTCATTAATCATAAAGGAAGAAAGGTTTCAGTTTTACTCCAGTTCCAAAAACAAGCATTCTGGAAATGCTGAATGGGAGCGTGTCATTACAGTTTCAAGGTCAAATAATGCAACAAGATGTCTGAATCTAATCTGAGATGGGACGAAAACTATCACAGGAATACAAGGTAAATGCATACCTCATTCTGCAAATGAAAGAGCGCCTTGATCCCATGCACATTCTCATTGAGGACTGCTGACCCTCCTTCTTTACTGTTCCAGTCTTCAAATCCAGGATTCGTCCTAAAAAAGCCATGGAGAGCAACTGACGTTCAGTGTATAAATGTAATTCCATTTACTAAAAACTAGTATGATGATAAATTCATAAGCTAAATGCCATTAGTCCAGTTAGGCGGAAAAATGCCAACAAGAAATCTTGATGCTGGTCTCACATTGCTTATGTGCTGGCTTAACTAATGATTTCAGTGAAGCTGACTCTGAGTTACAACAGCGATGGCTCTTTTCTTGGTTGGCCCAAGACCAATTTCCAAAGCAGGGTCAAATGCCTGGAGGCAGAGAAGACAATGACAGCAAGCACAGCTTTCCAACTTGATCTGCTCACTTCACTCTTTACCAGAAGTATGAAGAAAGCAACACGCGTTATTCCCCTAACAGCTGCTCCTCTTTCCATGTGCTCTTGTGATCTAGAATGCTCACGCTATAACACCACCCCACACATCCAGAGCTACAGTGACGGTGAGGAACACATAAGACCACGCTTTTCTCCTTTATAATGAGAGACAGGATGTATGTTACAACACACTTGTAGTGGGACCTTTTCAGAGGTGATAAAAAACTGACATGACAGCATATTTTTAAAGTTAATTTTCAGGATCAGTGAGATAATCTGACTCTCCACAGAGCAACATGAATCTGCTGATCAGCATAAGATGACTACAAACTTCAAATCTCATACCACAGACACAGCACTGAAAAGGGATGACAGCTACCAAGTCATCCCAAAAGAGGACAGTATGGAGGGAGTACCGAGCTTGGGGAGGTCTTTATTAAAAAACAAAGGTAGCAAGGTGGTCACAGGTAAATCTTTCCATTCTCCTGAGACAAAAAGAAGGTAGTGATTACTACAGACAGGTTCAGATCAGTGATTGCAGAGTACAGGGTATCACCTACAATCCTACTGTTTATCACCAAAGAACTAACAGAATGGATTTTTGAATCTACAGCTCAATTGCTAACAGATGACTACAGAATTTTGCACATTAGTAACAGACTAGAAATGAACCACTGGCCCAGATCCACAATGCTTCAGGGCTGGACACAGCCACAAAAGTGACAGTGGGCAAGAGAAATGCTGTGGAAAAAGACAATTAAATGACAGCCACCAATGCTGATGACACACAGCCATGAGCAAACCTACAAGTTTAAGGTGGGTACCTTTCAATAACTGTAACTATTTAAAAACTTAAGTCTTTACTGTGATATAAGTAGCCAAGTTTACAGCAACATAAGATACCATACTTGAAGAAATCATACAGAATACATTCCAAGTCTCCTTTATCAGATTTACTTAAGAGTCTCTGTCCAAAAATTGAGTTCTGAAATAATCCTACTGCCAAACATTAACTTCAGAATTACTTTAACAGAAAATATTTAGCTCCATCAATGAATGAGAATAAAATTACTACAAACAGTTTAAAGATTAGTATTTCAGAGAAGTAACTAGGCAGCTGCATCTTATTGTTAAGGTATCCTCAAGGTAACTACTTCTGGAGGAAAGCCATCCTTGTCAACAGAAGGTTAGATGTCATTAGGTGTGTCTCTAAGGTCAAGAAGTTAGCAACCCTGCGAACAATTCCTAAAGATGCTTCTTTTCAAATCACTGGGCTATGTACATATTATTCAGGTGTGAGCAGGGAAGAAATCATACCACTGCATTTCCCAGCTCATTTACACTGACCCTATGAGGTAGGATGGATCTGAGATTCAAACACACTTCCCTTCCCTGCATCAGAAAGTCTGTCTCTCTGTAATTTTCTATAGCCAAAGCCACAATCTTTTCCCATCCTCATACCTACTCACACAATTTAGAGAAACAAAATACCATTAGGGATGAGGCAAACTGACTCACAGATAAAGGCAATACACAATTACGCAAAAAAGAATACATATGCAGGACCCATTGGCTGTCCATATGAGCATGCAAAGCCACTGAAACCATTAAAAGCATTTTTCTCTTTGGACACAATAACTCTGTCATGTAAACAAAAGAGGAGTTGTTTTCTGTGCACTCTTTTTTCCATTCCAGTATAAATTCTTGAAGTGACACAAATAATCAAGAAGCAGTGACAGTAAATGGAACTCCAACAGCCAAGAGAAATTTCTCAGTTTTCATCATCCAGGAGCACCTCTAAAAATAAGAATACTTCACAATTACATGGCAGCTAAGCCTAAAATTGCTGACACATGTTCATTTGGCATGCCTGAAACCCCTGACAACAGAAGTCAGTTTTTAAATTTAGCCTTTTGTTTGGCAATGTCTTAGAAATATGTACCAGATAAGAAGTAGCAGTCTAAATTTTGCTCTGACTTACAAAATCACTGCAGGGGGTCTGTGGGAGTGCAAGTCAGAGAAACGTTTGTACACAGGCATTATGACAAAGCTCTCAGCAGTTTGTTTCAATAGTCCATCGTGCACATGTTAACCTTTTAGAGCTCTAACAATACAGTACAGATTTTGGTGAAGAACAAGCAGTTTGTTTCTCATATATTATTAGAAGCTTATGATCAAATTGTATTAAAAAGACAAGAATTACAGGTGAATAGCCTAAGGACAAAGCTTTACATTTAGCTCAAATAACCCTGTTAGTGTACTGAGTCCCTGACGTAAGAGGGATCTCCCAAGACTCAGCTTTTAAGTTAGTTACACTGGTATCACCAGATGTCTAGAGCATACCATGAAGAGTAAACTGGGGAACAACCCAGTGTGAGAACTGCATGCAACCAACGTGGCCATGCAGCACAGGTAAATGTGATCCTTTGGAAGAAGACTGGCATGAACATTCCCAAGTCCTTGCACGTTACTGTGTCTGCCCACAGTACTGCATACATACTACTAAAAGATCTCCCTGTTTGGAGAGGTCTCCTGTTTAATGATGGCAGTCTGGATACAGGATTACTCCTTTCTATTTTCATGCTAATTGCTAAGAATCCCATATTCATTTCTAGGCCTAAATTGACAGCATTTAGATTTTACCAGGTAATTCTAATGAAGTGCAGAGAGATGGAAAACAGTGAAGTCAGAACAAGCTGGAGCGATACCACAGTTATTTGCCATGACTTCTTTTTGCTGTGACAATACAGTTTCACCTGGTCTCAAGACAAAAGTCACAGACATTTCTCCCCAGGCTCATCACCACTCCAAACCTGGACCCTGGGGAGGGAATGGACCCACACCACCATGCTTCTGCCAACAGGGAATTGCAAAATCATCTTCTACCTGCTTTAGTATCAACTTCAATTCCCTGCAGCTGCTCACGAGATGGACCTGAGCAGGAAGCACATCACAGTCAAGCAAACTGGCATAAATCACAACTCAAGTGTCAGTCAAACAGTTCAGTTCAAGGAGGCTGCATACTCCGATGATGGCTCTGTCGCAGAAACATAAAAAAGTCATCTCTCTATGTATTCCTGTACCTTTTATGCTGGTGCTGCTATGCGGGTGATAAACGTTCATTTAGGTTGCTCCAGAGGAAACACATACAAAGTATATGTGATGTTAAATTTGGCCATTATATTCTTATGAATAGAAAACATTCTAGGATGCTCTGACAATCGCTGCTAATTGAATGGTGCACATTTCTTTTAGTTTCTTCAGGAGAACAGTTTTAACAACGCAGTGCCACCATCGGCTGGATTCCTTTATGAGCTTCCCCATAAACTGGTAAGTGCATGTAGTTCATTTTCATGTTAAACTTTTCCCCCCTCCAGCTACAGACACAACCCTCAGATACAGCAAGTGCAGGATGAATATCTCCAACATAGCACTGCTGTGACCAACACCGCTGTCTTATTACCATTTCCAGCAGCTGCACAACTCAGAGGAAGCCAGAGATTACTGTGCTGCAGAAGAGAAAGCAAATAAATGAGCACAATGCTCATAAAAATCAGCACATACATCTCTCCGGTTGGTCTAATTTATAATGTGTGGAAATCTACCAACTAGAGTCCCCATCCAGAAGGCAGTATTGCTTAAACCTGTAATAAACCAGTTGTCCTCTGAGCAGGAATCCACCATGCAACCCAGGAACCTGATGTCAGGCAGGTGTTGTTATAAGAAAGGCCTCTCAAGAGGGGACCACCGAGGTGAGGACAGTCTGCAAGCTGACTCATTACTGATGTAAAATTAGAGAAGCCGTATAAAGCTCTTCCCCCTAAAGAGATTAGTAAGTAACAGATTCGTACTTAGGATACATGCCAGAAACATTCCCTTTGTGTTATGCTGCAGCAGGTTTTCAAAGATGCTCTCAAACAAAATGATCAAGGGGACAAATATTCATATTGGCACTGATATGCTTCTTGCATGTGTAAACAGTGACTGGATTATGCACAAACCTTCCCCTTTTGGATCTCTGGTTGCTATTGTGAATGCTCAATACCTTTGCTGTGCTTGCAACGTTTGAGATGAACCTAAGCCAAAGATTGGTCTCAGCCTACTGAAGTTCCTGGGGTTTCAAATCTGAGAGTTTGGCTCAAATCCATCTTTACACAATAGCACCAGCCTGCTAGAAAATTTGTTCCTCCATGTTTAAGCACTGCATGCTAAGGTTTATAGCCTGGTAATCAAACACAGTCTGTCCTTTGTTATTCAGTTCCTTGCTATTTCTTTTTTTGGCAGATTCAAAATAAGCTTCGACATCTAATTCTACCACAAATGCTTTCTCTGCTGGATATCCAGGTCCTACGAATCCTGCAGTATCTAATTAGAAAGAAGGGTTGTTACATAGAGGCATTCTGCAAAAATTTCAGTTCAAGTTGAAATGACTGTCTCTAGAAACAATCGTACAGTATTCGCATCCAGTCTGCCGCATGGAAATACCCCTCTCTTTCAACAAAAGACTACTGCCTGCTTATAAAGTTCTGAAGAAATCTGTTTTGGCCTCACGCACATAAAAATACTGTTGGCAAAGCACATGATACAATTTTCTACTTCCCTCTGACTCATCAGTAGGACAGCTGCCTTGTACAGAACCTTGGACCTGATAAGGAAACAGTCTTCATTAATA